CTAACCACCAGGTTCGTTCATGACTGGAGGGCGAAACCAAGATCCAAGTTGCCAGGAGCGCCAAAGCAGTTCTTGAGGAGATCGAGGATGGTAGCAAGAGAATACGCCACAGACCGAAGAGATGATGTACACAGCCCAGCCAGTGGAAGCCATGCTTTGAGATTGATACCAACTCTGTACCTGATGAGGAAGAAGGAGATGGAAGATGGTGGCCCACAGGTTCAGCTCGGAGCGCTGGACGTGAAGGATGCCTTTCTTCAGGTACCACAAGATGAACCAACCCAAGTGACAACGGCCACGGGACATTTTGAAGTCCGTCGAAACCTTCCAGGACAGAGGATTGGAGCAAAAGCTTGGTTCGATCATTTCACTGGTTGGCTACGCGAGAAAGGATTTGAGTTTTCGAGAACGAATCCATGCTTGGGCAAGCTCTCCAACAAGATGACAGTGTTGATTCACGTGGACGACGTCCTATATCTTGGAGAGGAGGAGTACGTTGTGAAAGACTTCTTGCCAAGCATCAAAGCAAGGTTTGAAATCTCAGAACAGCATCTAACTGGTCCTGGCAGTTCCTTCCAGTTTTTGAGGAGGACGTATGAAGAGACAGAGACTGGCCGAAAGCATGGTGGAGATGTACGAGGAGACCATGGGACGTGCAAAGATCCAATCCCTACCATGCAGCCAGGAGATGCTTGAGGCTGATGGCACAACACAGCTGAGGGCAAACCTTGCGAGTCTCTATAGATCTTTGGTTGGATGTGGAATATACCTTTCACAAGAGCGACCAGATGTGTCCTATGTGATCAAGGAGCTTGCAGGGTCAATGTCATGCCCAACAACCGGGAGCTTGAGGAAGCTTGGAAAGTTGGTTGGTTATTTGAAGAATACCATGGGCCAGTACACGATGCTGGAGATTGAGGAGCCAGGATCAGGACTCGCTACGAGGACAACAAAGGGCAGATGGCTGCTGGAGACGTTCTCAGATAGTGACTGGTCAGGGTCCAAGAGCCACAGACGTTCCACGTCTGCAGCCATCCATGTGGCCAACGGAGTGGTGGTATTCACAAGCTCGAGAGGGCAGAAGAGTGTGACGTTGAGTTCTGCAGAGGCTGAGCTTAATGCATTGGTTTCAGCAGCAGCCGATGGAATATACCTGAAGAAGTGCCTCGAGTTCGTTGCCGAAGAGGAAGTGATCCACCATTGTCTAGTTGACAACTCAGCAGCACTCCACCTATGCCATAGGAAGGGTCCCGGGAAGCTTCGGCATATCTCGGGAAAACTGCTGTGGATACAGGATTTGGTGGCGCAAGAGGAACTACAAGTAAGAGCAGTTGGGACAGTTTACAACATTGCTGATCTTGGCACAAAACCCCTCACCAAGAATCGCATCAGCTTGATTCTCCATTGGTGCAATGCCCGAAGACGTGATGGAGAGAGATTGGGCCAGGAGGAGCATGGCCGTCTGCAGGAGATGAGTGTGAGTCAAGTCAAGATTGGCAAGCTGGCGAAACTACTCAATCGAATCCTGCTACTTGAGGGCCTTGGGCAAGTGGCCGGAGTGAGGGACGACGCCATGGAGATTAAGCCCCCGGAGAATGGTACTTGGTGGTGGTGGTGCTTCATCATCATGATTGTGGCGGTGTTGATCTTCATCGTGATCGGCGCGATGGTGATGATGTGGAGGCGCATCAAAGCGCTTGAGACTGTGATCCAGCAGATGAAGGATGATAGTCATGTGGATGTCATGACCCAGGGGGCGATGACATATGAGGTCGAGGAGAAGGTGAAGGAGGTCAGCAAGGAAGTACAGGATTTGAAGACCTATGCACAGCAAATCCACAGAGGCTTGGTGAAAGCTTCAGGATATGTGGATGCAACAGAGTTCCACGAAGGAGATTGGAAGCACTGGAACTACCCACAGCACAGCAATCGAGAATTTGATCTTCGGAGAATGGATGCCCAAGTTAAGGAGTACCTGAAGGCAAAGCAAGAGCGAGATGAGGAGTTGGATGAACAACAAATCCCGCTGGGCAACCCCAGTCCACAGCGGGAGGAGAGTGAGAACGATGATGACGATGTCATTGAAGGTGAAGAGACAGTCCAGGTCCGACTGGATTCAGGAGAGGTGGTAGAGATACCATTGAGGTTCATCGAGCCGCGTGAACCTGAGAGTGAAGGAGATGTCGAGATGACAGATGCACCAGCAACACCACAAGTCACAGCACCAGAAGAAGAAGAAGAAGTACTGAGAGAAGAAACCCGGATGCCTGAGAGTCGTGAAGACCCAACCATCAGCAAAGCTACAAGCGGTTGGATTTCAGGCGTAGAACTTCGTAGGTTGACTGTTTTTGACAAGGCTGCAGCACGCTCGTGTCTCAGGGCGAAGCAGCATTTGATGAAGTGTGAACAGGAATGGTGGAAAGCAAACCAGAACGATGATCATGAGAAAAAGTATGAGGTTTACGAAGACATGGACCGACACCATGAGTTTCTGGATTGCGATGATCTACCATTTTGAAAGTTGAGCCATGAACACGCCAACTTACTTCAAGCCTCAAAGGAGGAGTGCGAAAATGCATTCACTCATACATACCGATAACCGCAGGCCCTTAGTGCTGAGAAACAGTGCACTTCCGCACTTTCCTTTTTCGGGTTGTGAGCAAGGGAAGGTCATTGGGGTTGAAGTGTTTGTTCCAACTCGCGTGTCCATCCACACCAGCGTTTGGACGCACAAGAGCTGAAACTTGGCATTCAAGCGGTGATGAGCGACTAGAGTTAGCAAACTTCTGAAACGAGAGCAAGGGGGTTTGCCTGATGGATTCGAGATGTTCTGCAGGTCGGTGCGATGCTTGGAGTTCTGAGTGACAAGTAGAGCTCAAATTTTGTTGAATCAAAAAGGGGTGTCGATGGATTGAAGTTGCTGGAATGCCCAGTGGTTGGGAATCCAACGTGTCCTATTGATTCACGTTTGATTCTCTAGACATTTTCAGTCAAAGTGCCATGCTTGCGTGGTGTGTGCAGTCGTGTCGACATTCCAACATGTTGCCGCTGTGTCATGATAACTTGCGAACATCATGTCATGCTGAAAGGGTGTATGTGCTGACATGGTAACATTGAGGTTGACTTGCTGACCTGCTGACGTAGAGATGTTGATTTGGTGTCATGTGGGCGCGTTGCCTGAATGTTGTCATCCGGTCATGTAGACAAGGTTGCCATGCTGGTTTGCTGGCGTGGTGTCATGCGGACATGTTGACTCATGCTGACACTGAGTGACAGGGCTGTGCTGGATGCTGATGCTGACACGTGGTCATGCTGACATGCAAACGTTTGGCCTTGCTGTCGTCATGCTGACAGGCCCCAGAGCGGGTTTGGAGCAAATTCCATGGGTTTTGCTTGTTGCAATCTTGTCACACTTGCACACAGGGGCACTTTGTGCTGTGCTGACATTTTGCCGTGTTGTGATGTTCGCATGGCACATGTCAAAGGTGCACATTGTCCAAAACAACCTGACACACTTTGCTGTTGATTTTACGATGTTGCCATTGCGGAACAAGCGGGTTTATGCCCAGCTGTTCGGGATTTGTGTTGGGTTTGTTTCTTATTTTTGGTTTGGTGCCAAGAAACATGATGTCGGTTTGCCCAAACTGACCGAACGGCACCAATTCGACATTGAGATCTTGCCACCGAAGCTGCAAGTAGTTTTTTTTGCTTTGAGCCTTCATGTTTGCTCCTTGTTGCTCTCGTACTCTCTACAGCAACTTCGGTGTTTTCATGCGTTTGTTCCAAGCTGCAACTTTGTTGCTGTGTTTTCTTGATCCGTTTTCCAATCCAATTCGATTTGTTTTGGAAAGGATCCAGTAGCAATGAATACTTTTTTCCTATGACCTTTTCCTCAACGGTAGTTTTCACGGTCAAACAAATTTAACATGTCGTTGTTAGGAACTTTTGCCAATTTTGTGCCATACACGAACGAAAGTATTCACAACGGTTTGAATGTCTGGCTCAGTGCAAGCAGTGCATGTTGGTTGGGGGGGCTTTTTTGGGCTCGGGGCTTGTGGCCGAGCGAGCAGGCATGGGGTTTGCGTGGAAATTTTCAACTTTTTGAATGCACATAGAATGAAGGACCATGAATTTCAAAGGTTTCTAAACACATTTTTTACTCATTCTTCCTTTCATCTTCTTTCATCTTAGACCATGTATCTTCACGCGGATCTCTGCAGAGATCGACCACTTGAGTTAGCTCCTGGCTCGACCGCTGCCAGGCCCCTGTTTTCGTCAACCAGCATGGTGACCGTCGTGAACTCCAAGGCTGATGTGCTCAAGGCCCGACGGCCGTGGGTCGTGAAGCGTCAGCCGACCGGACGAACCCGGCGACCGCGACGTCGCGAAAGCATCGAGTCGGTTCGGCCGGTGACGAAGCGAGGCAGCGCAAGCTCTGGCGGTGAACCTCAATGCGGCGAAAGGGCTGCAGGAGGTGGGTTGAAAAACCGCCACTGGGGGACACAGGCGGTTCCCTTTTTCTTTTCGAGACTCCTCATGCGTTTATGCGTTTACAGGTCGAGTTCCTTTCTTTTTTCAAAGGACTGTCCTGCTTTGAGGACCTTTCTTGAAACCATTCATTTTGAAGCGAACAAAAATCACTGGAAAAGAGGTTGTTCAAACATCTCAAGAAATAGGTTGAACCATTTCACTGGTTCGAGATGATTCCACCTGATTTGGATGCCCAAAGTGGTGGTTTGAGGATTGGGTTTGCCCCCCTCCGAACACCTTTTGTGTAGCTTTGTTCTCGGCCTTATTGATGACTCTACCAGGAAAGTGTCATGACCCCTGAGCCGACTTCCAAGTTCCAAATCAGCTCCACCCAGGATCGCTCCTTCCCTTCGCCTCCGACCACTCCCCCCCAAACCGCCATGCCATCCGCCATGCCATCCGCCATGCCCCGTTCGAAGTGGACCGCGAGTGGTGGCTGCGTTCGGTGCCACGAAGCCAGGTGATGAAGTCGAATCTCGGTCCACGAGGTGACTGGGCGCCATTCCGCCGGTCGTTCTGCCTTCCCTTCCGGTCATTCGTGGTGCTTCCATTGGACCTGGGGACCTGGTTGCTGGGCGCTCTGGCGCTCTGCAGAGAAGGGGTTCTTGCAATTGGAGCCTCTGATTTTGTTGTAGGGTGGGTTCCCTTTGATCCCTTTCCTTTGCTCAGGAACACTGAAGATGCTGGTGGGCGGGGCTGGGCAGATCAAGATCACCAAGGTGGGCGACGGGCCGGCGGACCGGTGACGACCATGGTGGCTGGCACCATCCAAGTCTGTCGGCCTGCAGGTGAGGCAGGCCGAATCCGCAACTGGAGGGAATTTTTGAATTCAACACGTCATTCTTGCAGTGTTTTCCAGGATTGGGTAGGACTCACCGCTAACTCTCCCAGTAGTTGTAGGAGCAATGGATTTTGACTCAAAACCATTAAAGTGCGTTCAGGGAAGTCAGAGATGTTGTCCTGCGGCTGTCAATTGTCCAAGAGCCTTGTAGCCTTAGAAATGATCTCTTGGTGGGGCTAGCAAGCATTGCTCAGCCAGTGGGCAGCAAGTGTTGTGAGGCTAGAAATTTTGCCGTCTCCATGTTTTTCGAGGCCCTAGGATGCCATCTGCATCTGAAAACACCCCAAAGGTCTGCCGATCCGGATAAGTGCTTCCCGGCGCGGCCTCATCTAGGATGGATCAGTGTTGCTCAGTGAGATGCAGATCCAGCATCCCACAGCCTCCATGATCGCCCGAGCAGCAAGTGCGCAGGTGTGGTGGGAACAATCTTTCAGCTGTTGTGCCTTTGTCTGGGGGAAAAATCGCTCTCACAAGGGTCTCAAGGGTTTTTGAGTTTTCTTGCAGTCTACTTTCTGGCATTTTGAAGGGTTGTGTGACTCACTGACTGACACGAGTCATGGTTCTCATCCTCACGACAGGATGAGTTCACAGGCGATGGGACGACATCCAGGCACATAGAGCTCGATCGTCGTCGATTGGACTCTCTGTCATTGAGAAGTGTGTCAAAGGTCACGCACGAAAAACCTCACACTTCACAGCACTTTCTCTCAGCCCTCCCACGCAAATCACAGCGACAAGAGCAGCGCATGTTCCTCTTCTCCAACGTCTCCTGGCCATCCTGGAGATATACAGGGGGTCCCACCTGCCGGACACGCACGCACTCGCGGGGCTCAGTCTCCCGCGTGCGCGGACTACGTGTGTGCGCGCTCTCGGCACCCCTGCCCTGGGCGTGTGGCTCAGTGTGATGTTCATCGGGGAGCTGATGAAGTTGGCCGAGCAAAGCCTGGCCGAAGGCCTCCACCCACGGCTCATTGCAGAGGTGTGCGGATGGTGGACCGGGTGAGGGTACAGTGGCTGGGGGAGTGGTAGCTGGGTGGACGAGGTTTGGGGAGGTTGGGGTAGACAGTATGGGACTCCCTTTTCAGGCCCCAAACAACGACTTTTGTGGATTTGGGTGTCCAAGCTACTGGGTTGATGTGGGGACGTGGATTGTGGTTTGTTGTGGAGTGGCAAGGAGAGTGAGTTTCGTGATCGTCTTCGGGTTGGGAGGTTGGGCCAGTTGTATACCTTGGTTTAAGTGTCTAGAATTGATGTCAGCAAGCAAACCATGTCATTGGGTCATGTCTTTTTGTGTGATCTGGCGACTTGTTTGATTCTGAGGCTAACTTGACAGCTTTAAAAGCCCATCTTCATTCAGCAAGCCAAGTGTTTCGGAGGGCTTTGAGCTTGCACGCGAAGAGACAGTGAAGTTCTTGGACAACTTCAAGGCGCTTTTCGCTATTCGGGGACGGAAGGTTGATTCAGGGGCATAGCCCGTGAGCTACCCAAATCACTTTATTTGCCTTGTTGAGGAAATTCATGGAACTTCGTTTTCCAAATCTGCAACTTCTGCTGGATTTGTTCTTTGTGACTGGAAGCGTCCTAGATTTGTTTCGTGGCGTCAAGCGCTAGAGTTTCCAAAGAGCGGGCAGAAGTGGCCCCTGGACAATCCGTCATTTGGAGGATTGGGCGAGCACGAGGCTTGCTCATTGTCATCATCGTCATAACCCATAAGAATCATCACGGCCAATCTGTGTTGCGTTTTCAAGTTTTCCCTCTGACTTATCGGATGATCTCATCCCTTTTCTTCCGTCGTCCTCCATTTTCTGCGTCTCTTCATCTGGTCATCCCAAGCTTTTGGTTCCAAATGACCTGACCACTAGGTTCGACCTGCTCAGTCGGTCGAGTCCGAGCGGTCGGGCACTGTCTCGACCGAGTCCCGGTCGAGACCGGGTCGTCGCGGCACAGATCCACATCGACGAGCCGCTCAAGGAGCGTGAGAAGTTGGTGTGCGTGGCGAGGACGTCTTTGAGGTGCGGAAGCAGCGCTTGGAACGGAGGATGGAACAGTGGAACAGTGTTCGTGTTCGTGTCCGTGTCGGGTGCGTTCTTGGGTTTCCTTACTGGAAAGCTTCACTAGGCTCCGGGGAAGACACTACACATGGCTACAAGTGGTTGCTAGGGGAAGTAAAAACTTGAAGCCAAATGACACATGATAGCATTACTGCAGTGATATGCATGTCGACGTATTTGTGTACAGGTGAATAGATGCATACAGACAGTGTGACTCATCAGAGACTCTGTGCAGTCTTGCGGCAGCAACGGGAGCTACATGCTGTACATGCAGCCGCTGCAATTGTCAAGCAATTGTACACGCGAGAAGGATCTTTCTTGGATGCTGCTACTGATCAACATTTTCTTTGGTCCAAATGAAGTTGAAGCAGGATGCTGCACAAGACAAAACCAGCACAGTCCACCTGAAACCCCATGCGTGCTGCAAATAACACCTTAAGGCAACAAGAAGTCTTTTCAAGCTGGCTCGGAGGGAGTGCTGGGAGTTGCCATTTGCACCCTTTTTGAGAGCCCAGCAACAAAAACAAAGTATCGTTGCATTCTGATCTACAACGGCTGGGCACTCTGCTCACAGTGTTCACCGTGTGGGACATGGTGACCACTGGTGACCACTGGTGACCACTGGTGACCACTAGTGACCCAAAACTCAATTGACTGGAGTGGCAGTTCGGTGGGTTCGGTGGGTTCTCAAGGTGGCTTTTTAGTGGGAGGTCGGGGCATCCTGAGATGGTCGCCAAGCTGCGTGGGCCAGGACCAAAATCGCACCAAACCTAGCCGATCCCATGGCAGAGGTCGTGGTAGATGCTGTTTGGACCTCGGAACCTGTTTGGAGCAAACTTGCGCAGGACTTTCTTGTGTTTGATTCTTGAATACTTTGTATCGTGTCTCGAACTGCGGTTTTACCTACAAATCTCTGAGACAGTCTTACGGGGCCGATGTTGGCAGGTGGTGTGGTGCCTAACCGCAAAAAGGTGCCTATGGACTGTTTGTGGCACAGGGTCCAGTCCTATAAGGTTCGTACCATCAAAAAGGAGGACCAGCCTCTCGACCTCAACATGGTGGAGATTTTGCACATGAAGTGCGCCGCCCTTTTGTCAACGGGTGGTCGACTTGTTGGTTGGTTGCACGATAAAGCAAACCGTGCGCGCCCTTTGTTGGGAGATCTCATTGAGTGTATATATACATATTGACTCCTGCGCTTCCTTCGTTGTCTGATCGCCCGTCAGCGGCTTTCTGTGTTCACGTGCCAATTCCTGAGCCAGGAACAAGTTGGTGACTGATACCCGTCTCATCAAGGGGCTGGTTCTCGACCACGGTGCGAGACACCCTGTTCAAGACTCAGATTCATACTTGCAAGAGCTGGTCAAGAGTTTGAAGTGGTGCTTGCCGCTGCGTCGGACAGTTCTACATGTTTCGGAAGTTTGTCTGAGGACATGCCAAAGCGCTTGGAAAACTGTGAGGTTCTCAGCATTCTGGTCATGGCAATGCATTTTGTGTGTAGGGCAGAGCCGGCACTTGATGTTAGCTTTGCTCCTTGCTTGTCTGATTTTGATTGAATGAGGCTACATTCTCACCGCGAACGTATCATTGGAGTATGAGAAGAGTGAGGACTGACATTGACAGGATTTTTGCTCTTCGCAAAGCTCCCGTTTTATGAATAATTTGACAATGGGAAGAGATTTGTCAGACTTGTCTGTTGATGGATGCCATAGCGGACTCGCAAATAGATGAGAGTCCTTCAGCGCCCCTCTCCAAGTGCACCCACCTGGCGTGAACCGGCCGTCAGGCGCGGTTCTGGCCGGTTCCGGTTCCGGTCTGTCTGCCACGAAGCGGCGGTTTCGAAGCCGCTCGGTGGGCTTCGGCGGGTTTCGTCGCAGGTCAACGCTGGCTTCTTCTACAGCAGTGCAGAGCAGCGAGAGAAGTTGGTGGAGCCTGGGCCCCCAGCAGTTCTACGGCCAAGCGTGCGGTGAGATCCTGGCGACAAATCATCGACGGCCGGATCCGGGATTGGCAGAGTCAGTCGGTACCCGCAGTCATTCCACCAAATTCAGCTAGCTGATAAAGGGAGAGTCACCGGAAATGCAATCAAAATTCACCAGACCTGGACAAGAATCGCATGATTCGGTCGTCTTTACCGGGTCTTTGTAGGACACTCTGCTTTGGTTTAGCCGTCCAAAAGAACCTACCTCGTGTGGGCCGTGGCAAACGGTGGCAGCGTGTCCCCACCGTCAATCAAACACAGGGCATTTTGTTACACGTAAAGAACCAGTGCGCTGTGAATCTCTGAACTGCTCTACTCTACCAGTTGATCGGCTTTTTGAGGTTGATGCTCTCGGCTCGGATAGAAAGATGCTCCTTCAGCAACTGTGATGGGTGATCCTTTAGCTCTCACCTCACCAAGCCCCTAGTGGTGAGTTTGGTTGTTTTTGTTCGGTGGTTCACATTTATCGAACTTGAGACTGATGAAATCACCATCCCGAAGTACCCGAACCTCCTCCGCACGGAACTTCTGCTGCAGTTCTGAGCGGAAGTTCACTGATGAGAAAGTCAAGAAGATCATTGTCCCTTGGCAATGTTGACAATCGCTGTCGGGTTGAAACACTTGTGACACTTCGACGGCATATTAATATTATGCGCAGCCAATCCAATGCTAGACAGTCTACAAAAGGCCTTCAAATCTTTGTCCGTGCCTTTCTCTGTTCTATCCAACGTGGACTTTCAACTTTTCCATTTTTCCGGCAGATCACTCCAGCGTGACAAAAAACCTTCCAGAAAACCCTGGAAGAGGGACCTGCTGCCTCGAAAAGACGATGCACTGAGGAGTTGAAGAAGAAGGTTTGCACAGAGGACGGTGACATGGGGATGATTGTCTGACATCGTTTAGTTCAACCTCTATATAGAGTCTAGAGTCATCCATGGCCCCAACAGCTTTCTTTTGCTTTGCTACGAAACATGCCTATACCCTTGGACCATGCATCGGTGCATAAGAAGCTAAGCAAACACCTACTATAGCCAATCAAGAAAGAACAAACAATCAATGTCATTGAGAGGCCATGACTAGAGATATGAAGAACAGAGAAGACCTGTCCAACAACAGGAATTCATACGAGACCTTGGGAAGCGATGGATTTTGCAGGAAGGCGATGCCGAGAGTACCGGAATTCTGACTTCTTCTTGCGTGGTTGAGGAAAATAAGAAGTCCTTTGTGCTGATCAACCAGAAGGGCATTGACCCGCCATCTCTGGAGATGCTAGCACACGAGGCGAGTGAGCTCCAAACATCTTCAGCGCTTGACATCCTTTGACCTCCGACCTGAGACGGGACCCTTGTCTTCCTGTATGCACCCGTCACCCCCACCCCGTTTCCAACCCGTCTCCGTCCTGCCGCGAGCGGTTTCTCCCCAGCGCCATCGGCACACCAGGGCATCATCGCGCTGCGCAGGGCGAAGCGCCGCAATATGGAGCGTGCAAGCTCAGCGATGGTGGACGGTTTTCACTCCTCTTTCCTGGCGAAAGAAGAGGGACTGGGTTATTGAGACATTTTCTTTTGGGTTGGTGGTCATTTCTTCTTCTAGTCTTCTAGCAAGGGGCGCGCTTTAGAAGGTGTTTTTCTCTCTTGTGGTGGCAGAGATGATTGATGATCGTGCCTTTTCTTCATTCTCTTCATCCAGGTTGTGTTCAGGGACGATGCTTTGCGTACGCAGCATTCCGCAGCCTCTGGCTGAGTAAGAGACAAGTGGATCCATCTGACATGTGCCGTAAGTCAAGACATTGCTGCAGCTCTGCTTTCAGGCAAGTCTAGATTCTAGATCAGTGGAGACAGTAGAATGAGATGACTTGTCTTTGTGAGGGTAAGAAGACGATCTAGTTCAATCACCCATAGCTAGCACAACAACTTTCCTTGTGCAGAGTCCTTTAAACCTTGATCCATCCGCAAAGCCATGGTGAGGAGGACGCTGTCGAAGCAAAATGAGAGCTTCTTTACGGAAATAGAAGTGCGCCAGGAATGGGCTGGATTTGACTTGCTGAAAGTTGGAGGGGAAAAGCTGGTGCTTTGCCGCCAGGGTGATCTGGTTGTGGTGTCGGGATGTATCACTACTACATCCCCGATGAAGCAGAAGTCCAACTTCGACATCACAGTGGGCGAGGCAGATGCCATGAGACATGTAGATGGAGGGGAGAACTTAAGGTTTTGAAAGATTTGTTTGTTTAGCTTTTGGATGTGTTCATGTTGTATTCGAGCCAAAGCTGCAACGAAAAGACCCTGCAGTGCCAGAATATCCCTCAGGGCCAGAGTACACGGGGAGGGGCAGTTTTGAGGTCCTTTGTTCTTTGTTTGGGGATGCTCCCGGCGGTTTCCAGTTGAATCAACGGCCAGGTGATCCCTGGCTGTGCTCCTCAGAGATACATTCCCTTCGTTGCGCCCACGGCGATGTCCCGCTACGAGGGCATCCGACAGTGTGGAACCTCCTCCACGTTGCGGAGCGATGGGAAGCTGGTGATCAACTACAACAAGAATACGAACCCCATGGTCTTGCACTTTTCGGGATTGGCCTTTAGTGTTGGGGAGCCAGAGCACTTCATTGAGCTGGTGCCGCCTGGGAAGGAGTCTAGGCAAAGGCTGCTGCCCATGCCCGAAGACCCGCCTTCATTGCAGGTGGAGCGGCGGATTGTCAGTTTGCAAGGATCTCTGGTGGAATCGACTTATGGCTTCTTTCCAGAAGCTCAGGGTGATGGTGTGCAGGGCATCCCGTTTTTGCTGGAAAGCAAGGTCCCTGATTGGTCCTGCAGGTTTTTGATAAGGTGCTTCAGGACTGAAAAGCCACGCGTAGTTCTTGGAGTCCTCCCAACCCCTTCAAGAGATTCCGAAGAAGTGGGGGGATAAAGAGCTAGAACCATCTCTGTGACGTTCCACGCATGTGGTGCCACAGACTGCTCCGTTAGGGTGAGGACCTAAGAGGCCACTGATGTTGAAACAAGACCAAACTGGGGGTTTGCGCCTTTGGTCTGGTGCGTCCCTTTGGTAACGCCTTCTGCTAAGCTCAACCCGCCTGTTTCCACATCTCTTCCGTTGTTCACCTATATGTAATTACTTTATACGTACATATAAAACCCCAAGCCGATGGCAGACAGATTCAATTGAACACCTTCACACAACTCCCCAAGATCGCCCATCCGCATGGACCTCGGTCTTGATTACTCACCCTCCCACCCAGTCGGTTTCACTCGGTTTTACACACGTATGCCAATCGCGATCCCTCCACCTGAGGCTTCGTGAGCCAAAACATCGGCACCTTGCCCGAAGGCGTTCGCCCCAAGCGCGAGATCCGCTGCCTGGCGCCGTTGCTGCGGAAGTCGCCCGAGGAGTTCGGACAGTGTGACATTGCGGACCAGAGCATCGCCCTGACGATCAAGACGGATGGGAGGAGAAGATGAGATTCAATGCTTTCTGTGTGTGTTTCTTGTTTATTTTTAAAGGATGATATTGTTTAGGGGATGGTTGGGATATATGTCGGGATAGGTGGGAGAGCAGGAGAGATGCTTCTTAGTTTTCGTTTGATGCAATTTCCAGCTGGAAAAGCTGGCCACTGCTGTATACTTTCCTGAATCAGGCTGACCACTGGCCATTATCATGTGTTTGCAAGAAATTGGGTACTTCCCCCCAGAAGACATTCCGAAGATTGATTCACCTGCAAAAGCTTAAGCCTGAAGAAATAGCATTTGGATGCATTTGGAAGATAATTCCTGTAGCAACCAATAGCTTTTGGTTTCACATATTAATGTGGTGGCATGTGGACAGGTCAAACTGGTGTACAACAAATAGCAAATGCTATACATATACTGTATAGGTATGGGCTAGTTCTTCTCTTTTGGTGATGAAGAGGGTGTGGGGTCTTGAGCCGGACTTGCGATCTTTGAAAAGCATTCTATTGTAGATGTCCAGGGCGTAGTTTCTTGACATCAATGGACACTCCGTGGTCTAGATTCCTTTTGGAGACCAGCGACTCCCCTCGTCTTGGGGCTTCCACAGCCAATTCCCACAGTTCGCCTGCTGCCGCTGCCTGCTCTCCGTCGATCTCCCGTCGCCGTGATCGAGTCGAAGAGGATCTCTTTGCATGGGGGCAACGTGCACATGGTCGACCAGAAGGGCAACATGCGCATCCTTCCACAAAAGAAGAAAGGTATCCTGAGCTTTGAAGGAGTTCGTTTCTACATCGGAGATGATGTGGTCCCCATCGAGATCTCCACCAGCTTGCAAAAGGCGGATGATCACCAAGTCACGGACCAGAAAAAACAAGAGATTTTGCAGAAGTTTGCACCCAAAGTGAGGAATACTGCGGTGGCCTGTAGACAAGAAGAGATCGTGCTGTTGGAAGGTTCTTTGGATTGGGTGTCTTCTCGCGCCATCAACCCCAAGCAGGCCGGAGTACCTTTTGGTCATTTTTCATTACTTTGGCGGTTTAGTTGGGGCCTCCCATAAAGATTGGACAAATCAATGGTCTTGGGTCCTGGTCTCTTCCTTTTAACGGCAGAACCCGAACCTGCCAAAGGGTGAATTGGTTCAATTTGGGATTGCCAGATGTCGGTGGATCCGGGACAGCCTGCAACCTACAAGCACCCAAAAAGTCTCGGTGCAGAGCACTTCAGATTGAACATTTCCAAGCCCTGCACACTGGCAAGTCTCGAGCCAGCTCTTTTCCGCCCAAAAGGTCGAAACATTTTGATGGCGGCTCAACAAGACCCCCAAACTCACCGAGGCAGGCCTTTTCGACTTCTCTTTCTGCCCACAGCCGAGTGCACAACACCCCCTTTTCGACTTCTGAAGCGCAGCCCAGCGCAGCCCGTTGGTTCACCGGTCCCTTCGGGGTCCCTGACGAGGCGATCGCCACGCTGCCCCAGGGCTTCTGGCCCCGCCGGCGCGAGACCTTCTTCACGCGGGGCCGCCAGGAGGAGCGGCGGAGGGTGGACCTCGATGTCTTCGGCCGGATCTTTTGCCCAGAGGGAGCGGACAAGAGCAGCGATGGAGGCAGGTGGACGACGCGTCCTGGGTGTCCATCTGGGCGGTGGTCCACCTGGGCACTGGTTGACTTCCGGGGTTTGGCTTGGGCAGAAGGAAGTGCCAGAGCGCTTCCACAAAGAGGGGGGTGGCGACCAGTTCGGGTAGAACCACCGATCGAATCACATCTACAGTCGGAAGTCATCCAGGATAGGTCAAGAAGTGCTTCGCGCTTCGCCCGAATAAGAGCTAAGAGCTACCAGGTTTGTCATGTTCTTTCAGTTGGTCGGCCTTCGTAGCTGCCCCTCAAGGTGGCTACATCGACCTCAGCGGCATCATCTTTATCCGCTCGAAAACACCGCCCAAGAGCAAGCTTTTTGACTGCGAATATGATGAGTTGCGGTTGCAGTACAATCGCCCAGTCGTGGAGGTGACCTCGAGTTCTTTCAAAGGTCATGAGCTGTTGGAAAAGTTCATCCGCCGCTTGAACGTCTATGAATGGAAGCTGCTACACCATCACATGGCCGCACAAAGTGGGCGCAGGATGATGACGCCAGGTGTAGGGAATCTGGGTGAAGAAGTTCCAATCCGAGGATGGGAGAGAGGCAATGAATTCAACTTGTCCAAGCGTGAGGATCGACTTTGGAACCAGGTTTTAAGGCATCCTCTTGGGCAGCACTATGGGATTACCTCCTTCCACACTTTGCTGCATCTGTCTGGGCCCATGCTCGATGAGGTCCTGGACTGTTCCGAGATCTGTGATGAAGACCGTCGGCACATTAAGGCCATGAAGAGAGCCCGAGAAGGGGAGTGGGAGAGGACCAGGGTGGTGATTTTTACAACAGATATCTTTTTTACAGGTCAATGGTGAGGTGAATTGTTGTCATCCCGACTCATCTGGTAAAGATTCTTGTCATTTGTCCTTTCTCTTGGTAACAATGGGATGACTGCAGCATGGAAAGATTTTCTTTGCACCGCGCCCAACGCCTTCCAGGGTCGGTTCCTCTCTCCAGGACCCGCCAGCCGCGCTTGACCTTCCAAGCTTTACAAGAGTTGGCCTGCGAGATCAGCGATCAGATGTTCGACCACTGGGATTTCTATGCACAGATGCAGGGCTTGTTGAAGAATGACTTCCGGGCCCCTAAGACCATCGAACACATGTTTCCAAGGCACGTGAACCGGATGCAGGAGAAGTTGATCAAGGACAACATCCCAGAGAAGGACAGAATTTCACACAGCCACTATGGGTAGATAACCTTCCAAAGTTACCTAGACAGCAAGTCCATGAGTTCTCCATGATTTCTACCCTGAGTTCTGCCAGGATTTTCACAAGTTTGAGGAGATTCGCCAGTTCTTCTTCCTCTATGAAACCACTGGGAGTAACATGACACATTGTAGCTTAATGGGCTCACAGGACTTGTTTACCACGACCGGGAAGTGGCACTTCCCGGATGCCGATGATGTGCAGCAACAGCTCTTCGAAAACATCGCATGGCTTTCCCACAAGAATATCTACCACTATATTTCCGAACGTCAAACCCCCAGATTTCCTTTCATTGAGGACTTCGACATTCAGGCTGGGGTCGATTGGAAGGAACCCCTGCCGGGGCAAATAAGGCCTGACCCCCCGGATGAGCTCATCATGACCAAGCCCATTTTGGACGCCAACGGACAAGTGACGGGAGATCCAGGCGTTTTGATGAAGTACCGGGCTCAAGCGATTCACATGATTTACCCACAGATTGAGAACTTGTATTGTTTGGTGTACTCTGCCTCTGGCTACAACAAGGGAAAAGAGATGTTGAAGTCCTCCTTCCATTTGGTTTGGCCTCAGCTTTTGGTAGATCCCGACCGAGCACCGGTGATTCGATACGTCACTCTGGGCATTTTCAAGAATGAGACGAACAAGGCAGGCTCAGCTCTGAACCAGCTACAGAAGAGACTCATGGAGCTGCATGAAAGCAATGAATGGGAGTTAGTCTTTGACAGCACCACGATCAATGCACGTAATGGCCTTCGCTTGCCCTACAGTGACAAGGCCTCGATGATTGTGAAGGACCCCCTGGACCGTGAACGGATCAAGCGGGGCGAGATGTCCAAGAACTCGGCCTTCAAGGTGCGTGTGACCGAAGAGCGCCCCTCGAAAGCCATTGGGAGGATTGAGTTCAAGTTTGAGAAGAATCCAAAGAATCCGAGTGGAATGGATGCCTGGATTGGAGTGGATGGATGTTTAGGCTTGTCCCAGGATGGATTGGAGTGAATCCCCGAAATTTGGGGAAGACTTTCACTGGCTTTTCCTCAAGAGGGAGCAACCGCTCGGGTTTGCAAGGCGTCTCCATCTTCCCCATTGAAGCAGGGAGCCGGAGCCAGGCGACCACCGAAGTTTCCCAACCCCCTTGCTAGATTCAAGATTTCCTTTTGTGTGGGAGTTTTCCTTCCATAGATGGCCTGGCAAACCAATGCCTTTTTCGTGTGCAACCGAACTCAATGGTACCAAGTGTACCACCAAGTTCTATTCTGCCCAAGCTTGGCTTTTTTCAGTTTCCGAAGCAGCCAAGGATGCCCTTGTGGATGCCAAGTGGGTGGCCAATGAAAGCACCTACCCCCGCTCCGAGTGGATCCGCATGGGCTCCTGTCGCCGTGACCAGGAGACGGTGCGGGCCAGTGAGCTGACTCCGTGGCAACTGGGCCCGGCGGTCATGGCCATGCTTCCCAAGAAGCCTGGAGAAAAGTACTATCGAGAGTCTGAAGATGATCAAGGCAGGGCCAGGGTGACCTGGGACCAGACCGAGGTCGGCAGGGACCCGGGTGGAGGCTTGGTTAGGGGAATTGGATTCCTCGCTTGAGTGAATGTAAGGGTCCAAGTGATCCTTCCGACCTTCCCCCTATTTCCTCGTGGATGCTGGATGTGTTGGGAGAAAAGAACGTGGAACGTTTCTTTTTCCGGAAATGCTGAGGCACCTTCACCACTCACGTGCCCTACCAAAACATCATGAAATGCTCCCTTTCGACCCTGGACTTCGCCCGACTGTGGGACGAGCAGCTCACCGATGAGATGGACTCCTTGCAGGAGGAGCTGGACGTGGATATGCGCGAGCGCATCGCCGGGCAGTGGGTCATGAAGAACGAGGATCAGGCCGTGTGGCGCGCTCCGGCGGCCAAGCAGTTTCCGGACAAGTTCCCGGATTGGGATTGGGGGGCCAGCTCGGGCAAGCTGGCCAGGCCGGCGGAGTTGATCTATCTCCGAAAGCGAGGGAAGATCATTTTGGATGGCCCAGATGATGTGAGGAGGCCACTGATGAGAGTCCTGAAGCGATGCAGGACTGAGCCGGATGACCATGCCATCATGCCGGTCTACGACAAGAACAAGATGGAACGATTTCCGTGAGAGTTCTCTTGGGATGGCCCCCTCCAGACTGAAAACGGTCGCCTGAGGGTTTAGATAGATTAGTCGGACATGCCTCTCAAAGCTGTGAGCTGTAGAGAGGTCGGTGGCTTGAACGGAAAGGCAGCGGTGGCTTGAGAGGTGGGGTGTTTCAGGGGTCCTCGGGTTCTATGGAATGTCCTCGAGCTTTATGCCTGGGGTCCCTTTGCATCAGTACCTGGGATCATGATGCTACGCATGACAATTTGCTTTGTTCCCTCTGTATGACCTGGCAGGGACGCCCACAACCACTGACGACCATTTCTGAGGCGGCTGCCCCTGGCCTGTGGCGGGATTGCTGTCAACTCCGTAGATGATTTAGATGTGGATGATCTTGGCTGGCTGCTCAGGCTCTTCAGATCAGCTGTGAGTAGTTCTGGGTGAGGAAAACGACCAAAACGTAGCAACCACCTAAACAAGCACCTAGACATGCAAAACATCTCTACTCCCTTCGGGGCTGCCATGCCATTTTGTGAGAGACAGTACCTACGTAGTAGTGTTGTAGAGGCCGCCCAAGCACAAGTTACTCACCCAAAAATAGAGCAAACATATTTTCCTGTTTAAATGGGATTCACCTTATTCTAGAGGGCATGATCATAGTCTTTTCTGTTCGTTTCTGGGATCAACGATGACTACATAGTCACAGTTATTGTGTGCTCAAACGTGGACAACCCCTGAGGAGGGACACCTTACAAACAAGCACAGGAGTAGATATACTCCCTGGAATGGTCAAGGTGAGTTAAGGTGGTTTTCCACTTTCATGATTTTTCCAGGGAGTGTATATACCCCTGACTAAGAAGTCTCAAGACGAATATCTTCACTGAGGCCATGCAGACCTTGTGTACGAACAAAGCTTGGAGGTGGGCCGAGCAGGGTGAGTTTGCCGGCTTCAAGGGCTTTAACAGAATTCCTAATACATCCTAATACAAGGTCCTCTTGTCTAGGTCACCAACTATAATATTGGCGAGAAAGTGCACCTGTGATGAGGTCTGTGAGCCAGGAGAACTATCATCCATGCGTGGGTCATCCTCATAATTTCGCCCTCTTTTTTCGTTGCTTTTGGTCTTCGCTGCTGGACCGAACCTTTTTCCCCGGACCCAAAAAGAACCGCCTCGACCGTGCTCCACCGACGGTTTTTCGGTCGAGTCCGCCTTAGTCCGACTCGACTCGACTGTCGCAGGACGACAAGTTCACCTTCATTGAGGGTGTGAGATGCTGAGAGACCGTAACAAAACCGGAAAGAAATGCTGCACGGACACCCACGGAGTGACAAGCTGATGGGTGTGAAGGTGTGATGTACGGAGTCTGAGGAAGAAAGTGCATGATGGATGTACGGAGTCTTCATGTAGCAACTATAGTCTCTCATGCTTCTTTTTTCTGTGTTCACATTAATCAGGTGCTTCAAGTGGAGTCATGCCGTTGTGAAACAGACTCCAGCCTTTCTTCAGGTGAAGAATCCTCAGAGCTGCACTGTCCTCATCCAGGGCTCAACGGATCATGCCGTTGCACAAATGAAGGCAGGTCCCTTTGAATGTTTTGACATCCTAGGTCCTAGCTGGTATGCAAGGTATGGGTGAGGCCGGCCTGTACTAAAGGTAGTTAGATGCATAGGAGGAGGTGAACCTTGTCTAACAACTTATTTTGGCAAAGCCCAGCCTTGTGGGTGGGATGTGGTTGGGAATTGGGAGTCAGATATTGAAATATTGTTGAGACAGCATTTTTGCAAAGTATTGACTTGCTTGTGGCAAGACCCTCGATTCATCCAACGAAGAGACATCCTCCTCACAATTTGCGGCTAGATTTGATGGTCACTAGGAAGTGTTCCTTCCGACACATGTGCAGCATACATGTGTGAATCGCTATGGAGCTCCCCTTCTTGCAACAAAACTTCACCGGAACCGACCACCCGCCGTGTGCGTGGTCGAGTGATGGGTGCTTCTGTCCCAGGATGCCATCAAGGATGGTCTTAGAGCAGTGCAGAATGTCGTGGAAGATGAGGCGGAAGACCGTGAGTTGTTCTTTGCTTCGCCCGCACAGTGGAGCATTTGGTGGACTTGGTGGGACATTTTGGGAACTTGGGCACCCTGTGCAACTTGGTGCCGCGGAAGGGGCTGGCTGGTACAGCGGTTCTTGGTTCAGGGATCACCCTGCGTGGTGGATCTCCTGAAGCTGCTGAAACCCCCCACCCAGAGCCAAGGACACCCGTTAGACACACGAAGCAAACTCGGTGACGTAAGGACTTCCAAGGGTTGCGTCGTTGGCTGTAGAGCAAGCCTTGGCTTTTCGGGTTATAGCCCAAATGCAGGTCCTTTACCGGTTTCAAATCCACCAGATCATACCAGATCCTAGAACTTCCAACTTCATGATCAGACCAACTCTGGATTTAGGGATAGGTCAAAGCCCGGAACACCGAGTCTCCCTGGTAGGTGTACCTTGTAGGTCCACCGGGTCCCGGGTCTCCTGCCATGACCGCCATGCACAGCCGCTCCACAACCACCGTGCACCGTGCGGACGAATCGTGAGGCCATCGTCCCTGGCGCCGGGGCGTTTGAGGTGGGAGAGTGGGGGGCGCGTTCCGCGGGTCACCGGTGGGGAGAGGGTGCTGGGGAGGTGTGTGTCGGTCTTTCAAGTGTTTTTGCAGGTCAACCTGGGCATGCAATGAGAGGGTTCACATACTTACGCAGTCGTTTTTTTTCCAGCAGGGTTTAGGGTTTAGTACCCACTCGGAGTCGGAGAAGCTGGAAGAATTCTCTGTTTTTCGGTCAAGAAGACCGACCCACAGGGGGAGACGTTCCGGCACACGCCACACGCCACACGCTTGTCCACGTGTTCACAGGTGGCGGCCCATGTGCACCTCGAAGAGTTCAAACGCTCGGTGGATGGGAAGCCTCGCTTGGGGGTGGAGATCTTTGGAAAGGCATTGCTTGTGGTGCCGAAGACGCTCCTGGAGAATTCGGGCATGGATGTGCAGGAGACAGATGATTCGCGGTTTGCGGAAGGTTTCTGGAGAAAGGTGGCCGAAGGCGGCGTAGTTCGGGGTTCGGGGTTTGGCAGGATTTGTGTCAACGGTTGTATCTTGACATTGATAAAAAAAACCCACTGGAACTGAACATGGAAGTGGATGGGAAAGGAGCCCGTGGTTCCATCCTCGAAGCATTGAGTCCCCGATTGTTTCGAACTCTGTGGTTTCTCAGGCTGTCCGAGAACTGCCAACACTTGCCTAAGTGAAGGGTGTAATTCCTTCTTCTCCAAGTTGCTTCTTCAGGAGAAGCTGCTCAGAGTTCTTGCTGATCGTGAGAACAAGCAGAAGGTTGACGAGAACTCAGAGGGCTGTGAGGGACGAATGGAGTCTCAAGAGGCTGTCCCAGCCCACTGGGGAGGGCTCTTCCGAAAAGCTCCACGAACCATGGGCAACCCACTTCGTAAGCCGCAAGAGTGTGCAGAGTGTCAAGATCTGAATCTGGAACATGGTGAGTGACTCGAAGATGACTTCTTGTGGATAGGCAGCCTTTACCTTGAGATAGGAGAACAACCTAGAACCCATTTCACCATTGTTTTGATGGGAATTGAGCATCATTCGGCGGGTGGTCCGAGGTCATTCGGGCTCCAAAAGAAAAAGATCCCCAAACCCCCGCTGATCAGCCATCAGCTCCTCAACTCAACGCTTCCTCCGAGGTGGGGGTCAGCGTCTCCAGCGGAGACCCCATCGATCCGGCCATTGAAGGTGCCGCATGACCACGGCCCACATCGGTGGGTGAAGACCGAGCGGGGCTGTGAAGACCAAGGTATACCAAAGGCTCCAGCTTGTGATGTCTCATCTTAGTGGGTCAAGTCATGAAGCATAAGACATGTCTCATGGCTTTTCGCATCCTCAATGACCTTGTGGCATTGTCTTCATGTTGGAAGATGGGAGGGTTGGACCAAGCTTGTTCATCGCAATTTCTATCAATTTTGTCCTGTTCGGTTTTCAAACAAAAGGGAAGGGCCTGGCTTCGGCAAGATTGACCGATGCGTCCAAGAGTTCTATGGGTTTACCGACGAATTTATGACAAGCTGGGTTGGGCGATGTTGAGCTGCGGCTACTTTGTTGGAATAGAGTCGTAGGATTGTAGACACAGCTCTTCTCTAAGCATTCTCTTATTTTCCGCACTTTTCTTGAGCGTACAGGCATCTATGACAACTTCTTAGTCAAGAAGCAGATGCTGGGGCTGGCCAAGCACTTAAAACAAAGGGCACGCGTCACAGGTTTTCCACAAGCAGGTCCACTCTGTTGCCTCATGCCAGGGTTTTTAACATGCGACAGAGGGGGAAGTGGTCGTTAGGACTTCCAACTTGGGGCACAACGCGCAGAGGGGCACAACGCGCACTACACTCACAAATGCTCACAGCATTCCTTCCATTGAGAAAATGAGATACACTCCCTGAAATCATCATGGCTCCGTGGATGGCATGGCTCCAAAACGATGACCATGCAATCCGAATACCAAACCGGAGGTGAACTCCAAGTCCATAAGCCTGTAGGAATCCTTTGGAAGGAGCTGAGGCGAAGGGGAATGGCCCGTTTTAATTCGGCTACGAGAGCAGAAGAGCCCACTTCAACCTTGAGTAGTTTCACAGAAGTTTTGCAGTTACTTGCTTCAATCTTGACTTGTTTGCCCATGAAATACATCTTGTTTCTCCCACACCTTGCCGAAAGCGACGACGCAGTTTCAGCGCAGACTCCTCCTCTTCCGGCGGCGCACACACCGGACTCGTCCGTTCCCAGTCCGACGGTCCGTTCCGTGGTCCGTTCGTCCGTTCCGGTGCGGTCGTTTCCACGTGTCGCGAAGCAGCACACACAACCAGACAGGGTGGACACGCGGCCCTGTGTGTGGTGTGGATCCTGTGTGCATCAGACGGTGGACTAGCTGACTGGGACCGGTCCAGATGGGCGCGGACAGAGCGAAAGTCTGTGACGCCTAAACCTTGTTTGGTTGCTCTGGTTACTCTCTCTATCACGTTCCTGTTGTTGTTCTTTTTCTCCAAGAAGGACTATGGGAGACTAGACAATGGGAGGGGCTAACGACTCATATATCTTCAAACGAGTGCTCAGTTATTCAAGTTCCTCAAGTCAAATCCATCTTTGTAGAGACCCCCCGTCAGCCTGCCAGCGTTTTCATGATGTCCAATCCCTTCGATGAAAACGCTCCTGACTTTTCGATTCAGGAACTTTTCCCAGTTCCACGTCTTTCCGGTCCGGCTTGACCTCGCCTTTACATGGGGATGGGTCAAAACCAGAAAAACACCGAGTCTCCCTGTCAACCGGTCCCACAGCCATGTGAAGGTCTGACTCCGATCTGAACGTCGTCCTGAGTTCGGAGAAGCCGAGGCTCCAGTCTTGGCAGAGCAGCTGTTGCTGGTCGATGAGGCAGGCTGGATGCCGGTCTTCGAGGGTGGGAGGTGAGCCTGGATTGGAGCAGGTCGACCAGGTTGGAGCAGGTTGGGAGTGTGTGAATGAAGTTACGGGGTATGAAGGGTGTCTACCTCACTCACCTGACACTCTCATTCTTTCATCATGACTGGAACCGAATTGAGCCTTGTCTTGCAGGACCAAGCATTTGATGATGTGGGGGCTTTTCCATGTCATTTTCTTTTAATCACAAAAAGAAGTCAGATGGCCTTAAAGCACCTCAATGAGAGTGGCTCTCCGTGCTAGCTTTCAAAACTGACACCGTGTTGTTTCAAACATCACGTGGGAATCGGCTTCCATCTCGTGCCACTAACGTGTTGGTCTCGTCACTTGGACGACAGCTGAGGTGATCCGGGCAGGGAAGTCCATGAAGAACGACGGTGGGATGCAGGGGTAGCCAGGGAAGCTGTGGTCAAGTGGTATGGCTCAATTTTGGCGGGTTGGGCAACCAGTCACAGACGAAGAAGTTTGAAAGGAGAAACAAGAGCAATATAATATATATATATACACACCTATCTGCTTTTGAATGCACATTTGCACGAACTTGGTGCCGCTGAAGACACTGAAGACATCGATGATGATGCAACTGCAGCGTTGCCCAACCCATTGGTGTTAAATCGAGTTTTGGATACCAGTCTTTTGGGGTATTTCCAGCGTCATACTGCTTGCAGTAGACGGTTCGTCTCACTGGCTGGATGCAACAAAATCGCATCCCAAGAAATCCACAGATGACTCATCTGCCCAAAAAGAGCTTTGGAGCTTTGATGACTCATCTCCCTTTGGAGCTTTGGTCTCGGACGATGGTCTCGGTTAAAGAAGGATGTGAAGGTTGGCCACCGCGTGGATGAAGGATGGGCCTTCTGTTCCTGGGGGAGTCACACGCATCAGATGGCTCAGAGGGGGTGCAGGGTGAATTGGGTGAGCGATCTTGCCCGCATGGGCGGCAAATAAGCATGGCTGAACATGTTTGGTTGAAGAACTCAGTCAACAGGAAGAACATCATGGGAGTTGCTCCAACTCACAGAGCTCATGCACTCGAGCGCCTGAAAATTAGTTCTTCATTTTGGGGAGAAGGTCTCTTGGTCACCATCCCCCCACGGACGACGAGACTTTCTGCGCTGCCTGCTTTGCAGAGAGAGTGAAGGCGCCCTGCCTTGGCAGACGTTTCACGCTCCGAGCTCTTGGAACTGCGGAGCTCTTGCATCAGGACATTTGGAGCTCAAGGTGGCTCAATGGCCGTATATTCTTTAGTAAATGTTCAGCAATGCAGTAGTCAAGCATGGGTCGCTACAGTCAGAGAGACTGTGCGGAGATCACAGCTCCTTTTGTGTGCAGTGCTTCCACTGACGTCGCTAATTTGCAAAGGATACAGAACAGGCAAGCTCTTCCAAGCACACCTGGAGTTGATGCTCTGAGTAGATATCCTCCATACCATGGATTCAGATACGAGATGGAGAAGGGGAAAGGCCAGGGCCTGACTTGAAGCGGAACCAACTTTATGTCAACTTTCATCTATTGGGGCTCTGTTTTGATCTTTCCGTGCAGTTGCTGGCTAGATTTGCGTAAGTCCCAAGTTTGTTCACCAAGCGTTACTCCTTCTTGGCTGCAGAGTCTTGCGCCATGTGAGGTTCTGCCGAAGGTTCATAGCACCAGACGTAAGCTGAGGGAAATCAACGGCTCCCCTCGTCCGAACTGAAGACGGACTGGTGGACTGGTCCCGGTCCAGAAACGGTCCATCGACAAGATTCTGTTGACGTGTGACGTGTGTCCTGCAGTGTACAGTACAACAAAGAGACACATGTTCCATATCAAGACTATAATTACCTATAATCCATACAAAACAGAACCTACCATACTTAGAGTGCAGTGGTCGAAGGCGCCGCAGCTCGCGTGGACAGCTGTCAAGTTGATCTTGGGTTTCACCAGGAAGGGCACCTTAGCAACTGGCCAAAAGAGTGCGTATAGGATATGTGAATATTACTATGTAATATGCACGAAATATGTATAATATATATATATATATGTGTGTGTGTGTGTATCCTGTATATCGAGCATAATATGACCCACCACGAAATGATGGTTTCTTCTCCTTCCTTCCAACACCCGAGCATGCTCGGAGGCCTACCACGACTGACCGAGCAGAGGTGGGGTGGGGTGGTTCAGAGCCGAAGGTGCCGAAGTCGAGAAAATCTGGCTTTCGCTTGCAGCCAATGGAGCAAGGAGTGGCGTTGTGTTTTCTTTCACTTGCCCAAGTTGCCATTTTTTTGACACCTGCATACTGGAGTTGGAGCACAGCAAGTGTTGGAATTTTCCGTAGCCAGTTTGCGGCTCCATTGCACAAGCATCAAAAGCAATCCCTAGAGCCAAGATTCGAGCCAAATGTTGAGCGTGGACTATGAAGAACCTGCCTCTCCCGTGCTTCCCATGCCTCCCTATATGGAGTGCCCAGAGCAGCAGGCCTATCCCTTGATCATCGCAAGTCCTCCTGTTCCGCTGGAGCTCGTCTCTCAATCAGAGGAGCCTTGCGTCCTCTCCACCCAACCGATGCCTCCAAGCTTCCTCCCACCGCCGGTGCCATCCGGCCAGCGGGTGCAAGCTTCCCCAAGCCCACCGCCTTCACTGCTTTGTCCGCTGGCCGTGCAGGTGTCGGTGTCGAAGACGCCAACCACCGGCCGGCCCTTGTTGCTGGATCAACTCTTGGAGCCTCCGTCGCCGAGACGAGCCCAGGGCGACGGAGAGGGGCTTGGGAAGAAGGGTGCAATGGACGGGGAGACCATCGCTGGACTCCTAGTCAACAAGACTACGGTGATGATGCGCAACATCCCCAACCGCTATACATGTGAGGAACTCTTGAGTGAGGTCATGGCAGCGGGCTTTGATGACACGTTCGATTTCTTCTATTTGCCCATGGACTTCAAGACCAAGCGCAATCGTGGCTACGGCTTCATCAACTTTGAGTCCCCTGACATAGCCCAGAAGTTTGTGCGGAGTTTCCATCAGCGACGGCTGTTGCTCCACCCCTCCAAAAAGATCGTGGAGGTTGCTCCAGCTGTCACGCAAGGGTATGAAGCAAACATGAGCAAGTATTTCAAGAAGGATTTAGAGCGAATCAAGAACGACTGGTTCAGGCCAATGCTCTTCTCCAAAAGCTAAGATGCCCAGCTTGGATGTCCGTTGAGGCCAGAAAAGAGGCGTCAACGCTTGGAGCGTTTGCCCGAATTCAGGTGGCCCGAGTTCACAGGAGAAGCCCCGGTTTTGTAGAGTCCATTTTCAGCGGGTGGTTCCGGTTCTCGTTGCTAAGGCAGGGAGTTATCAGCCAGTTGGATCATCTTGTTGAAGAAAGTGTACAAGAAAGAGGAGCCCTAAAACCGCCATCTTACCCCTTGTTGGTTGAAGGGTGAGCAGGTTTCGGGGCTCCTCCTGGAAGCTCTCTTGAGTAGTTTGGAAAAGTACATATTATATATACTTCAATGACTTCAATGGAAGTCGACCACAGTGGTCAGCATCCTTGGGCTATGCATTCAAATTTGCACCTACAGTGGGGCCACGAGTTCAGCATCCTTTCGACATCTTTCGACACTGAGGACAAATTCGATAAATGTGCCGCAAAGAAATTCTGTGATGTACAAACACAGGTATAGCCGGTATAGCATAGTGGGATCTTGCAGATATGCTCCAGAGGTGCAGTCCTCCCTGCAGGCCTTTTTCACCAATGTGCGATTCTTTCATGCAGGGACCGCAGCCAGGCTGGTTTAGGAGATCGGCGTGGCGCCGATCGCGCACGGCAGTCGAGAAAGAAAAGATCCTAAAAGCCAGCTGTGCGGGTGTATGCTTAGTGTTTTTTATCCTTATTGCGTGCCATATCGTTCCGGCGCGGTTATTTTCAGCCCATGTAGGATGCGAATTGAGAATGACCAAAAACAGGGTCAAACTCGAGTTATTGAGCATGGGGTTTACAGGACACTTCGGTACAGCAAGTGTCCATGTGTTTAGTACTAATTTTTAGAGAAATCCAAGACGTGCGCAGGCAGCTCGCGTTCCCCTACACGGGCAGCACTGGGAAGATTGAATTCAGCGATTTGGGGCTTGAATTTCGAGGGGAAACTCCATCTACTATCGAAAGCGTGAACAGGCGGTGAGTCGAAAGTATAGAGAGATCACTCAATGACAGGTGGGTGTGTATTAAATCAGGGAGACCTTCCAACGACCCCTGGAAGAAGGAAAATCGACAAAACCCATTGGTTGGGTTCAAAAATACACTTAGGTCATGTTTTCTACAACTCTGACTTCCTGGTGCGAGCCTCGCCAGAGGGGGACTGTATTTCGGACGTTCTATTAGCACAGATACACACTAGAAGTCGAGCTTCGGTACGTCGGTACAGGAGGGATCAGAAACAGCTGGATCAGAACAAAAGTAAAGGAGCCTAGACTGGGAGAGGGCCACCGGCTGAATCTTTGATTGAACTGATCAGTTCCTGTGCATTTTTGGGAATTCTTGCCCAGATGGCAGCCACGGTGTCACGAGGGCAAGTTGAATGGCGGAGATCGACCGCCAACTGCTTGGTGGTTTCAACATGTTCAACCTTTGACCTGGGATCAATTCTATTGACACACGTCTTGTTTCTTGGATTTGGATTTGGTGGGTTGAAACCACCAAGAAGCCATGCCAAGACGATGCTCGCATGGCCTGATTTTTACTCGCTTAGTACATTAATTATACACTGCACAACTCTTATGAGAAGTGTGGGACCCGCCAGTGACCTGTCAGGCTGGAAAATGAGATCAGATGAGTGATGTGCCGCCCAGCACAGTGAGACTTCAGCCCTTTTCAAAAGAGGGCTCCGAAGTTCACAATTAAGCACAGAAGCTGGGTTTTTGGCAGTGACATGGAGCGACTGTACTCTACTCTGAACGACGCTGCTTGAAACATCTGACGTTGGGCGAGCCAAGGAAATGCCCAAGGAAAAAGGCACGGTGCAGCATTCTTGACTAGCTGCTGGCTGAGTGAAATCTGGCTTGACTACTGTGAACACCCTAAGGCTTCTGTTCATGCAGCTATGGCTTGCAGCTAGGTCAATTGGTGCCATACTTTCCTCATCAAGCAAATGCAGCCTCCTTTTGTCGCTGGACAGATCCGCGAAAGCCTCACGTTCGCTGTGCATATCGTCATGGGTTCGTGAGCGCGGTTTCGGTACAGGGAGAAAAAGGCGGACGATGCGATGCGACCCAAGAGCGTCGATGCGGTTGTTTGGCTGAGGGTCTTCATCTGAGACGTTGTCTTTTTGCGGCAAATGCCACACTGCAGCCCTGGTGCGTTCTTTGGCCAGGCCAACTTCCACACGAGGCGTGGGCCAGGTGCGGGAGAGAGGGAAGGGGGCCAGGGGTGCTGGGGTGGTGGGATGAGGACTCAAACAGCTCCCAAGAGGTGGAAAACGAATGCAGCTCCCAAGAGGTGGTACCAAACGTTGCCGCAGTTCCTGTTCTTCTAGTCTGGGGATTTGCCGAGGTCTGAAGAGGAAGAGTCGCCTGTGAGCTTGCCTTGCAAAGTGTTTTCCACCACGTTGAAGCAATTTGCCTGATCAATGAGGGTTTGGGGGGGGAACGTGGGGCGTTTCTGTGCAGATGGAGTGTTGCATGGATAGGCTGAGAGTGAAGAAGTCCCGAATGCACAGATGGGTGGCATGAGAAGCTCGCCCAGTGCGCGCCAGTGACTAACGGAGGTGCGGCCGGCGCTCAACGACCAGCGCCTGGTGCTCAGCGGCAGGTGTTTTCGAAGTTCGGCACCACCGTGAAACCCAACTGGGGCTGGTAGATGGTCTTTTTGGCGTTTCAAAGAATGCTGTTGGTTGAAAGAGAGATGCCAGGGACTAAAGAAGCAACACATGGAGGTTGGAGTCCAACTCTAAGTGTACACACTTTTGACCTCCTGTAAATGGCAAACTTTTGAACAATGGCGAGAGTGTCTCCCTTTGCGCGTGATTGATTGTGATGTCCCAGAGAGCTTGGTTCTTTTCTCGGTCCAAATGGCAAAGCTACCATTCTAGAGCGGGCAGCTCCATGCAAAGTATCATTGGTGGCTTTTCCACCGCACAGATTGCGTGGCATTGTTCTTCTAAGGCCGCTGTGGTGAAACAGTGGTGCGGCTCCGCCCTTGTCAGGATGATCGAGGACCAGTCCAGGGCTATCTGGGCTTGAAGGCGGGCGACATACTTACTTGAAGGACCTTCTCATCCCTCAACTGCGCCAGGCACCAGGTGGCCAGGCCCAAACCCGCTCCTCCCCAAAGTCCAGTGGTGCAACTCATCCCGTTGCCCCCCGACCCACCACTCCCAGACCCCCCCCAGCCACCCGGCTGTTTTCTCAGCAGGTGGGTTTGTCGGTGCCGGCGCCCAACTTGGATTGGGAGCTCCTCATCCTCGACGTGTCCTGCCTGACCGCCACGGTGGAGGGCCCCGTGAAGCTGCGCGCGGGCGATCGGCTGCGAGGAGTGGAGGAGGCAGACGCGGAAGGATCTCGGGGAGGAGTTGATGGGAGAAAAGAGATCTAATGGGTCCGAGGCTGGAAGATTGGGTCTATATAATGGGTCTCAAAGGTTTCGGACATTTTTGTATTCTGAATCTCACAGGATTGACCGCATAAGTAGAAGCTCTTTCAGTGATCCCCAAGTGGATGGATACAACTTCCAAATGTTGTTGCATCCGGGGAACCGGGACCGGATGGACTTTTCGATGTATTTGAGGGCCTGACTAGACAATCGAGCGCAGGTGACCGAGCTGCGAGATATGATGCCTGGCGAGATTTGCTATGGAAGTGACAGGTAAAGAGAAACATGGATCTTCCATCACATCTATATAGTTCATTATAGTTCTAGTTTGTTTTTCTTATGACAGTAGAACATCCGTTGTTGCCCAGATTCATCAGCTCTTCTAGATGTTAGGTGATTTGTACTTGGGTTGGAGTTACGAGTTTGCTCATGGATCTACAAGAGACAAGTTAAACATCAGCCTCGTTGATACTACGAGGTCCGAGGGCCTCACACCAAAGCCTCTTTTCGCAAGGTTTTAAATCACTTACAGTACCTGCTATTGTGCGATCCCAACAGCAGCCCTGCACACAATGCTGGCAAATTGCAGGCGCGAGGGCAGAGTCAACAACACCTCTCCTTCATCCACAGCCAGAACCAGGGTGACTACTGTACATGCCACGACTTTCGGGGCCACACACGAGGGCCTCTCCTGTAAATACCATGACCGTCGGGGCCACAGGCGGGGCCGTAAATATCCATGTGCCACCAGGGGCCACTCCTGAATTTTGGTCAATGCACAGCTTCAAGGCATGGCAACATACAACGGTATTTGCAGACCAGCCATGCTTGCCCAAAAGGCACCTTGCCATGTGCAAGGTTCTGGGGCCCAGTTTTGCCACCCACAAAGCCAAACTGGACGGCTCGTGGTGGTGGCTCGTTGAGCATGTTGGACTCAAACATGATGCATCAAACATGATGCTGCTGTGTTGCATAATGCAGCCCACAAAATAATTGAACAATATTGAACAAATTGTTATCCCAGATCCCATCGAACTCTACCGGTGCACTTGTGCAGCTTCATGGTCCCAAAAGCAGGGTCCCAAATCTGGCACGGTAGCTTTCGGAAGAAGGGAAGGCCCGTTTTGGTGGTCAAAACATTTGCCCACATTCGAGGCCAACAATTTGACGAAAGAATACTTTTCCGTGAGTGTTTGTGAGTTTTACAGTGTGCTGATTGGAAATAGCTTTTAAATCGCTAGTGCTGTCCCTTGTCTCACCCCTTGCACTTATGATACCGTATTTGATCCAGGACAATCTGTGCGTGATATGTTGGGGTAAAACAACTCCCACATTGCTTGTTGGAACCCAGGTTCACTTGTTTCGACATACAGGGGGCTGGCTGAAGGATCCCGGGTTGCCTCAACATCCGCTGGGGCTCCAGAACGCACAGAAAGAGAATCCAGCTGCACCAGGGCTTTGGGGAATGGGTGTTGAAGATGTATCTAGTAGATTCCCAGTAGCAAGAATGCTACTAGTAGTAAGGCCAGGAGCCCCTAGTAGCTTCTTGCTCCTAGTAGCGATGTATCTGAGGATTGCCAGCTTGGCGGCTCTGGACGCCTGTGGCACCAACGAGGCTCAGGCGAATCCGCATCCAAGAGCGCACGCGAAGTGCGCGGACGAGAGTAGTTCGCCTGAAAACTACCACAGACCGCGCCAGCAGCGCGAGCAGGTGGAGCTCTTGGTGGAGCTTCGCACCTTGGCCGAAGCGGAGCGGGCGCTGCAAACGGCCATGCCGCTGGCGTGCAAGGCCACGGAAGCGGCAAGCGTGAGGATCTAGGGGTGGTTCTGAGGTGGGGAATTTGGATGTGAAACATGTTGGTGATCCAAACACCATCGGGATGGGATGTGGGGTGAAGACCACGTGTTACCGTGTTACTCAACAAAGTGTAAGGAGACGGCCTCCTCCTCAAAAATGACCTTTCACTGCTCCATCTTGGCAGCTCTGCTGTCCCCTTTGACCAGGGCTTCAACATGAATCCGGAGTTCGAGGCGTGAATAAATCGCCGGAGGACGGTTGGTCGGTGGCGAACGGCCAGGCCGCGAGTGACGTTGTGAGGTGCCAAGGCTTGACCTGCTCATGTAGCCAACCTTTGTCCTGAATTTGGCTCATCAATGTAGCAGAAAGGATGATCCCTGAGCGCCCACTGAGGGAATCCAAACATCTCGGAAAACGTCCAAACATCTCCAAGAACTGGAATGCTCGGAATGCTCCCCTTGTTGGATGATCCCGGACCCACCCACCCCTTCTTCCGTTTGGAGTGCATCGGACGCCAGACGAGCTCCGTGTTCGGCACTGAGAACTCGTTGCTACCCTTGCCGCGCCTGGGATTGATCCACCGTTCCAAGCGCCCCGCGGAAAGCGTGGAAAAGGAGGAACGTTTGGGGTCTTGTCGCCCCCAAGAGGATCAACCCAAGAGTGAGGGTGTTGAAAGGATCTGATGCCATGAAGCCATCTCACCTAGCTGCATGGGTGTGTGCTACTTCCACTGGATGAGCTTCCAAAGATGGATTGATAATTGGTGTGCCACAGCAACACCTTTCATCCAAAGGATTCCGGTTTTCAGCAACGGCTGGACCTCACTTCACGACGTCGGATCTTTGTGGAAAACAACCGGGCCGCTGAGTGCTTGAGTTCCTCCCCCCGCCCGACGGACCGAGGAGCTACAATCAAGAGAGCGAAAGCCTGGCGGCGTTCGAGGGCAAGGACCAGACGATGATGCAACGACTCCGGAGGAGGGATATGGAGGGATTTGGAGAAAGAGAGAGATGGGGGCAGGGTGGTTTGGCAGATTTGGTTTGGCTGTGAGTCTGTTGTGGGGCGTGGAGTCATTATGGTTGGAGGGGTTTGGACCTACATTCATCATGCATTCTCAGGACTCAGGATGTTGTTAGATGGACATGTCTTGTTCTCAGAGTGATAGAGAATTGATATTTCTTGAGTGTGCAGGCAGTAGATCAATTTAATCGCATTCTCTCGGGTATTCATTCAGTTCCCTGTAAGATGCATTGGAGATGCAACGATGTTCTCGACTTGGACCACGGAACACATCGCTCGACGCTCGATCTGTGTTCTTCAAACGGCTGCAGAGGGCCATCCGCGAGCTCACGGCGCTGGAAGCCTCGCGTGTAGTCGAGAAGCTCACGAGGTTTCAACAGCCTGGGGGACCCGACAGGCGATTGGCCCTGAGGGGCCTAGATCATGTGGGATGAAAAACCAACGGAATGCAGGTGAACCTTTTTATGAGTTCCTGATCAATAAACCCCTCGTATGAAGAGGTCTTGCGGGCATCCGCAATTGGGGGGTTATAAATCAAGATCCTACATTAGGGCTGCTCGGACAGTTGAAGTTCACACAAAGGTCTTTTGAAGGTGGGAACCGAAAGCAAAGATCCTTGGGCCGTTGGAGAATCATGCCACTTTCATGGATGTTCATCTCAGTTGCCACTTTCGGGGGACATTGGCCAAACGAAAATAAGCGTGAGTCATGAGTCTTTGGGAAGGAATGAGGGAATGGAGCTGCCTTCGTTTCTTCGGACCTCTGAAGTGACTCGAAGGCAGAGCTTTGCTTTTAGACTGTGCTCCAGCCATGTCGCAGTGAAGCTCCGCAGGCTTCAGTTTGGCCTGGATCCTTTTGATCGGAAAGTGGATTTGAGAAGATGGACTCGAGTCATCCAATGGGACTTCATCCAAGTGGTCTCCCCTCTGCATACACAGTGAACTCAGCCACCCCTTTGCCACGAAAAACCTTTTTTTTGGCCGTATTCTGTTGCAAGACTGGACGCGCCATCCTGACCATGGAGATGCGGACCACACCTGACCATCCTGACCATGGAGATGTGGACCCTCGATCTCGGTTGGATTCATCGGACCACTGGTCTCGCCGGTGCACCGGTGTTCCTCGGCTCCACTGAGGCCTTCATTGATGGTCTGTTCCCCGGTGGATCCTGCGGCCGACGCGGTGGACTTCGAGGCGCCGAGCCTTCGGTCGGCCGAGCTTCCTGGCAAGAAGGAGTGGGTGGAAATGCTTCTTCGGGGGGGAGGTAGAACGGCTTCTTCTATGGCGTTTGAAGAAACACCTGAAAAGGAGGCGCCCGGAGGACGAAACCGGGGTTTCCGGAGGACGAAACCGGTTGGTGGTGAATCCGGTAGCGATCGAAGGGATGGAAGCGATCGAGCTCTCGACCTTCGCCCAGCGTTCGACTGTGGGTCATGGCACCAGGAGACTGACCAGTTCTTCCCAAACCTGGCAGGTTCTGGCCCTACATGGACCTGGTCGGGCGAACATGGTGAAATGATCCATGCAAATGTCTAAACTGTAAAGTTTGGGGTGAGACTCGTCAGTAATCAAGAACATCACTCTTTTATACCATTTTTGAGATGGGAAGGGCCTGCAACCATGCAGGCCCCATCGTCATGTTTATTGGGCTCTGGATGGTCATGGGATCCGCCAGGTGGACCGGCTCAGCGAGACGCTGCTCTTCGCCGTCGGACGGCACCGGGGGGGCAGAAACGAGCGAGCGAATGAAGAGGCCAGGGGGGATGGCACCATGCATGGATGTTTGCTGAGTTTTTTGGGGGTTTCTTTTCTTTTACAATTACATCTACAATTAGTAAGGTTGATGAACTCTCACTGTTGCATTGCTTCGGGGAGCAATGGTTCTGTTGAGGCGTTTCGGGCCTGCTTCTTGCTTTTGGGCACTTCAGGTGTTGGGGGCTAGAAACATGCAGATTCACAAGCGAGGGAGGTGCCCCCGCAAACGGCTGTGTGCTTGTTGTTCTAGATGGCCATGATGGCCTTTTACAGGTGTCTTTTGCAGGAACTCACTGTGAAGAATCTTCTTTTGAAGCAATGCTTTGAAGCAATGCTGTGGAAGCTCCCCCTACCAGCTCAGCAAAGTTGACTCCTAGGCAGCAAACTTCGCTCCCAGCTTGCCCATCATAGGCATGATTCAAACGAAGGGGTGCGTGGTGCTGTAGGAAGAACAAACTCTAATGGGAGTCTAACCGTTGGTCTCCAACCTGCACGAACTTACAATAGCGGTGAGAACCTCCCAAGTTTGCTTGCCTTCGCAGGACTCTCTGGCAGTGGCGGAGGAAGCGGCAAGGATCTTTGGGATGCCTTGGTGGCAGGCTGCCAAGGTGCCTCAAGTCATTTCTATTTTACTAGAGGCTTCTGGTGATGCCTGTTCTTTCTATATGCTCCTTGGAGAAATCCTGAACGTGAACATGGACATTGATATCTGCGATAGCACCATCTGTGAGACGTGCATCTTAGTAGAGTGTTTTCCCCATGCCCAAAGCACAGGAATTCTACCATTCTCTGGAAATTTCTCTTTTCACTTCGACTTCTTTGTTGGATGAAGAACAACTCCTTGGTTTCTGTTGTGCGCTCGTGCGATCTTGTGCTTCTACACGGGGTCCATGAGACATATCATTCTTAGCGGCCTGAAAAAGTTATGGTGATACTCCAGAATCAACGGCAGATTTCGGATGCCGCTCTCACCTGGAGTTCCAATTGGGTGCCTATTGGAGGGAAGGGGTGCCTCACGTGCACGGCTGGACGGGACCCCAAACCATTTGGAACTGCTTTCAGAAGCAGTTTTGTGGATTGCTTTGCTTCAGCCGATTCTTTCTCTTCGTTGATCTCATCTGGGTCAGGTGCCCAGGCGGAAGCCGCGGAAGCCACCGCCCAGGCCGCCCAGGCCTGGTCTGGCATTCTGGACGGGTCAAGAATTTCTTCCAAGATCCGCAGAACGTACCGTACCTCGTTTCCGCTCGTTTTTGATCTTGTTGGATCGTCATCTACCTTTTAAGGTTTTGACTTGCAACCTCATTCTAAGGCGGAGTCGTTTTCCGTATTCCAATGGCAACATCGCATTCAAAGGCACCACATGCCACCTTTTCATGGATTTGCCACGTCGCAGGCCGGGGATGAGGCCGGGACTTCGCAGGCACCGTCTCCCCAAGGGAAACCGGATGAAAAGACGCACAACGGGTCACGCTTCATGGTGCTTTTGTAAAACACACACACACACACATACACACTGGTCACACCATGTTTTTATGAAAGCACAATCAAGCACAACGGGTCAGGCTACTGATGTTTCTTGCAGTAGCGACTTTCCCACCGATGTTGGACGTTGCAGCATGACTTGGTGGACAAACCTTTTGGAGAACAAGCGACGGAGACACCGTCCTCCGTTTTTTGTTCTTTCTTTGAAAGACTCTGCAGAGTCTATATGTCCATCAGGGTCTACGACCCTCAAAACTACACGCAAGTCTTTTTGGCTGACTTCTTTCGGTCTCTCAACTCTTGGCGCTTCGCTCGCTTCGCTCTTTTGGTCAGGGGCTGCCATTGGATGGTCTCTGGCTTGAGGTGAGCTGGCTCCCCGGCACGGGAGGTAATCAGACACAGGTTTGCTGTGTGTAGGGCACGAGACAGACAGCAGAAAGCGGGGACCTCAACAGAGAACGACCAATCCTCCTTCATATGGAATTTGCCATAGTCTGCCGGATTCCTGCCCAGGCATGTTTTTCACCAAGGTCTTGCCGGATTCGTTTTAGCGCAGACCCTGCAATCCGACCATTGCCATCCGGGGGGGTTGCTAGAATATGATGTATATAGAATGACTTTCGTCCGACCACCCCATGGTGCTCATTCACATGGTGAAGAACAGGTAAACTGGTAAGGACCATCCTGATAAACCTGTTGTGCCACTTGAATCACTTGAAGAACCGTGGCAACCTGTGTATGTGTCATGTCATGTCCCCATTAGATCCCATTAGCACAGCACTGGACACCAGCTGTGGCATGTCTTGCTTGTGGAGTCTGGAGAGACCTCCGTTTCAACTGACCCAAGCATAGATGGAACACGAGATGTCTCACCCATGGCCGAGGATTCTTGATTGTTGAAAGATATCCGCCAAAAGGAGTTTTGACTTGACAACAGTAACAGGTGACAGGATCATACAGGTATGTTAGGTGATCTTTGACTCACGCAGCTGTCACACCTATCTATCAACGAAGGATCCGTTTTGCTTTTGGGTTTTGCTGTTGGAAGGCCATGTACAATGTCGGGGCCATCGCTCTAGAGTTGCGTCGAGAGGACAGTTTCTCGGTTCAGTTACGGGGGTCCGCCGGTGGTCAGTGAAGGAACCATTAACTAATTATTGGACAGGAATTCTCTCTAGAGGACATGATTTCCTTAAGCTCTTCGGAAGAAGCCGAAGGTCTAACACCACTGCCACCGTCGTCTCAAGTGCCGACGGAGGGACCTTTTGTTACGCGCAGGCAAGTCTGAAGTCCGATTTTTGTTGAGCTTGCTAACGTCCAAAGCTACATCACTTGCATCACTCAGATCTACATTGCTGCGAACATCTCATGAAGCAGCCTGTTCTGCGTTTGGTACAATTATAGTCAATGACCAAAGTGCCGTGTTATGACTAAAGCTCGAGTCCTGCTTGTTACTCAGTTGAATGCCCTGACCCCGCTGCCATGGCATTTTGCAGGAGATCCAGCTCTATGCGGATGCCTGGTGTACCCGTCAGAGCCTCAGGACATGGATGGCTACGATGGAGAATCCGACGGGGGTTGTGGTTTTCATGCCAGGTGCAATCGAGTTGGACTGGCAGCTGCAATTGGAGGAGGTGCATTCTCAGCGCAGGAGTCTGAAACACAGGAGTCTGGTGGGAAGAATCGACGCCACGGGCAGCGGAGATGTCTTGAAACAGAAAGGGTGCACCACTGTACTCGAGGAATGGTCAACATATCCAATGTTTGGGGAGATCAGGGTGGGCACGGAACACGGTCGCAAGAACCCCCTCCATGGTCGCTCATGTCCTTTTGCCTCATGCTCTGCGGGCGCGGAACATGCGCTCATGCAGAGCTATTCTCTACGAGCTGTGTGATGGAAGGACCCCAACCAAGACACCGTTTGATGAGGTCTACTATCGTTTTGAGCTACAGTCAAGGTATGTTGGTCAGCTTGCTTGTAACAGTGGACTCCAGGTGTACAAAGGTGAATGTCGACCTCTCAACTTCCAATCCCATCGACGAGCCACTTTTGGACTCGACAGGGTTTGTTGGCGTCCGTATGTATATATGGGAGTTGATCGAAAACCCCGTGTAAGGAGTTTTATATAAAACAGCCTTTCAGATGTTGTTAGAACCATCCGCGAAAGATTCGCGATGAGGTTCGCGAAAGTATCTTTTTTTTCCGCGAAAGATTTATCGAAGGTCATCGCTTTCATTGTTTTCCTTTCTACCGGACTGACAAAGAATAGAAACGCAAGGCAATCCTCCGGCAGAGCCAGTGGGCGAAGTGTCCCCATGTCACAGACTAACGAACTGAAGCCTCAACCTTTCCGTGCCCAGCCCTGGCAGTGCGTAAAGGATTCTCCGATTCCTGTCCCCACTGTCACATACTAGCAAGCTGGGTAGGCGCAGCCCTGACAGTGAGGCAACGACCTGCCGCTGCTCTGACGGGCTGTGCAGATGTTTGCAAATGTTACGGCGTCCCGGGGAAAGCACCAGTGAAATTTCGCGAAAGATCCGCGAAAGTTTCGCGAATGTGCCGCTAAAGTCTAGGTTCCCAGCTTGAGGCCCCCAACATTCCCCAAGCTGCATCACCCTGTGTTGGTAGCTGACACAAGGATTGGGTTGAGTTGTGCCTGACTCTATTTGGCACAATTGTCGCACAGATGCTGCAAGTGACCCTGAGTAGGTGTGCAAACGTTCAACCATCTACTGGGGTCATGCTGCAAGACGTCTCTCCCTATTATGACGTGTTCCGGCTCATGTTAGCTAGACATGGTTGTAGGACCATGCTTCGCGATGAGGCCGCGAAAGATCCGCGAAAGATATCTTTTTTTCCGCGATGAATGGCCATTCCAGGATGAAAGAATATTGATCAGCCACCATATACGTAGTTACACAGTAGTTGGCTGCCCTGACCCAGCAGCGGAGAAGAATCTGTTGTTTTTTTTGTAAATCTTATCTAAGATGTCCAAACGCAGAGGCCGTCTGTTCATTCTTTCGTTTGCATTTCAGCTTGTGAACCGACTCCGGATGGACCCCTCCCGGAACTGGTTTGGTTCACATAGTTACAGTATAGTGGCCCCCAAATAGATAGTGGCACGGTTTCCAATGCATTGTGAGTGGGGATCTACTTTTCTACCAAACCTTGGGGGTTCAAAAAAAGGACTCCTCCCAGAACTGCTGTGTCGCCATGCAGCCGCTCAGATTGATGAGACTTTGGGCTGGGTCTTTCAGCAAGTGGAGCACCTCAAGGCCCTTCCTGCGCACCGTGCTCCTGCCATGCGAACTGTGGTTGACACTTGTATACACTTGTGGAGAGTGTTCTAAGACTATGTTGCTTTCAGATGCAGATGCACTTCTTTTTTGAACTATGTATCTTTCTTTTTCTGAACTGACTGGGTTTCAGAGGATGGCGCACTGTGCTCCCTTCTTGCGGGATGAGCCACGCCACAAATTGAAGTGAAGAACCCGCGCCACCGAATCTGAAGCTATTTTGGCCTCAACTACTTGGGCAGATGACTTTCATTGACTTGCATTTGCTGATGACTGACATTCATCTAGGTGAGTAGCGAGCTCAACCCATGAGGCTAGTCGAGACAGATGTTGTGAACCTAAGTGGACTCTGGGACCCAAAGAGACCCTGAAATTGACCACATTACGAACCGGGAACACTAAAAAGCACTCTGAAAAGCACTGGAGTCGAACAAACTTGGCCACCTGGTTAAGTAGCAGCAGATACTGGGCGTTTGTAGACATTGTAGACGCCTTGTCGGCGTACAGATGGGCGTCCGTGGCAGTTGGGGGTGATCGGACTGTGATTGACCATGCCGCCCGCGACTGACGACGATGATTTGACCACATGGAATGCTTTCAGAGGTGCTGTTGACCGAGGCGACTTGGAAGAAGTCAACGAGATGCTCGAAAATGGATGCAATCCCTACCAGAAGGTCAGTGGCGACGGCGCAAATTGGACCGTGCTAATGCTGGCAGCTAATGCTGGGCATGAGGAGCTGGTGCAAAAGTTCAGCAAAGGTGGAAAAGGAGTGAGTGAGAAGGATTCCCACGGATTTCAGGCAATGATGCTTGCCGCTTTGAAGGGCCATACCGGAGTTTGTCGCACTTTGTTGGAAAGGAAAGCCGATTGCAATGCTTCCAATGAATACGGTGAGACACCCTTGATGATGGCGGCCGCAATGGGCCACAACGATGTCGTCTCGATGCTCTTGGCTGCCAACGCCGACGCCAATGCCTGCGACGGAAATGCCATGAGTGCGGTGAAGAAAGCCTCCCGCTGGGGCCACGTGGATTGCCTCCGGACACTCCTGCCCAAGGTGAACCAAGACCCGCGGGAGATGAAACATTGCCTTCTCTTCGGGAAGCTCTATGACCACCCAGAGGTCATGGCCGAGATTCAAAAGGTCTTGGAGCCTGAAGAAGAGGCTGATTTGCCTCAGGCTTGAGTGTCACTACCTCACTGTGTTTCACTCACTGCTTAATTCGGAAGACGAAGCCAGCTCAAAAAGCTCCTGAGGAGCTTCTGCAGGAAGAGTCAGACGCCATGAGGGCAGAAGCACAACATCCTTGGACGTAGTTTAGTGTTCTCCTTTTAGTTGAGGTTGATTTGTTCGGGTCCAAACCCCTTACCCCACCTGCACCCCTCACAAAAACGAAGGTACACACCCAGCGAACCCCTAAACCCTCACAAAGAGAATGATCAACCAGTGGGTTCTCTTTACCTTGCTCACCATCGCACATGGGATGACTAAAGGACACCCCTTTTTGTTGTCCCGGAAGGGGACTCAGCTCAGGGTTCAGCTCAGGACACTTGTCGTCCCGGCGCCCGCCAAATGGCAGGCGAAAGCCCAGCAAGTGCTGATCCTGCGGCGTTTGGAGGGTCCCGCACTCAGCTGGTGCGATCTTGGGAGGGTTGACCATGCCACGCCACGGGGCTGGCTGCCATGCTCGTTGCTTTCGGCTCAGGAAAAGGTGCCGTGGAAAGCACAAGAGAGAGAGAGAGGCTTGTAGGACTTGAACGATTTTCTATTTGAGACTTGAGGCAACTTGAAAATAAAACAAACATCAGCAGCCATCCCTTGGGAAGGGGTCGCTAACTATTTTGGCATGACCAGACTAAGTAATTCATCCGCCATGATTTTACAGCTGGTGCTGGCTGTGGCCGTGACGCAACCAACCCTGGTGCTTGTGTGGGGAACTGCCCTGGAGCACTAGCGAGGTGCCACTGCCCACTCTCAGTAACAACACAGAACAACCAGGAGTTCCATGTCGTGTGCTTTTCCGACCCATCCAGCGGCCGTGGATGTGACAAGGGCACCCCATATCCTCCATAAAGCATCCAACTCCTTGGAACTGCTTGGAAGGTCTGTCTACCTAAACACAATTACATTTCAGGCACTCAGGCCCTCAGCCAGGATCTTGCCCAGTCGGACAAAGGATCTCGGATGGGGGGGGGTCGTTTCCACCGGTCTTTCTTAGCTCCGACCTCCCGACCTTCCGACCTTCCGACCGGAGGTGCTTGGCAGACGCGGTGTGCCGCCGCTGGATCGTTTGCACCCCACGATGTGCCCAGGATGACCTGCCATGCCAGCCACCCGACTGTCAGGGTCCTTTCCGAGCGACCGTCACGGTCGCGCGCAATCGAGGGAGCGGGGGAGGGGAGTTCGCCATTTGTTCTACTTTGCTTACCTATCATAAGACTCCTGTGAGATTGTTGTTCCACAAATGAACATGAAATTTGAAGGATATGGCATATCGGATATGGTCGTTGCTCCCAGAAGCAGGCACCGGAAGAGGTGGAAATGGTTCAGGGTTCCCGAGGACCCCCTCCAAAATAGGGCCAGGTGGCATAAACGTCTCTGATCAGATTGTATGAGGTGACCTGCAAGGTGTTTGGTGGTTGCTCCGCAAAGGAAGGGGTCTCCCATTGAGGATCCGCTGTGGGGACCTTTACAAGCCCACCGACGCCTCGGCGGAGCGGATCGACGACTTCAGCGAGTGCAGCATCTCCGAGCATCATTGCGTAGCGCAGCGGAAGCTTCACTGTCAAAGACCGGAGCGACTGCCAGCGGGACCACTGGAGCTTCAGAGCTTGACGGGCACTTGGTACATCACCAAAGGCTGGAGGGAATCCCACCTGGCTGGGGGGGGGGAGCTTTCGATGCTCCGAGCTCTTTTGGGGTTTTGGACGACTACTTGTCCTGCAGGACTCTGGATTTCCCCGGAATTTGGCCCGGGTTTTCGAGCCACGAAGCTCGGGAAGAGCCACGGGTCAGAGTGGATTGAATCGACCCCGTGAGGTTGGAACAAGCTCTTCGATTGCTTCGACTGCCAGGTGCATCACTTTAGCCTTCAAGGAGGGCCAAAGCCCCTGCAGGGGGATCTCAAGTAGCCTCTTCTGCAGATGGTCCATTTTGGCTCCTTCTCGTGGTGTTTTGGGTCCTGGGTCTTTGATGTGTCCGTGCACCGAGTTTCTACTGCAGGTACTCTGTGAAGAAGGACTTGAACTGCACGGGAACGGTGTCACACTGCGAGTACCTCCCCCGGGAGGTTCATCAAAGCTTTGCACAAGACCCTGCAAATCCGATGCATCTCATCAATCACAACAACTCAGCCAAGGCGCCATGTCTAAGTGGATGGGGTGGATGGGGTGTGACTGACCGGTGAAGCGACATGCGGCCAGGCCGCCAGGCTACTAGCTGCTAGCTCAAGCCTTTGTCAATGAGTCTTCCAAGTTTTGCACCTTTGTCAATGCACCAAAAACCAAGTGGCCGGGGGTTGGCGGTCTCTCAGGGACGTGACACTGCCAACAAAAATGTGCAGGCCGGTCTCTCAGGCATTTTTCCTTTTTCTTTTTTTGGGAGCCAGGCACCTCGGTTGACTCAAGGACTTTGGTAGGTCAAAGACGGCCCACCCGTCTCAAAGATTTCGGCAGCAGAAAGCCCTAAACCAAGTAGGAACGTTGATTCTTAAACTCTTAAACTCAGAGGACTCAATGGGGGGCTTCCTCAGGGTTTTCGTGCCAACACGAGCTGCGACTTCGACAGGAGATGCACTACATGGACGATTGGTATGTGCTCGCTGCCCGGCCAGACGTCTACTCATTGATCTACTATTGCGGCTGCAATGACGCGGTTTGTGGCTATGCAGGCTCTGTACTTTACACACGCAGCCCACACTTTGAGGACCTTGCCCCGCAGGACGGCTGTGAAAGTTGGTGAGAGAGCCATCCCCCAAGTTGGCGCATCTGTCAAGGCGCCGAACGCAGAACGAATGATGCTGAAACGTATAGGACCTTGCGCAATGTTTAATCCTACGGAGCGGTCATGTCAAGGCCTATCCTTGGCGGTGCAATTCAGCGTCGACTCAAATCTGAGGGTGTTAGTACTTGCTACAGGAGAGAAGTGCCCCCCACTTGTTTTTTCCACGGGATCAACCAATTCAATAGGAAGCGCATAGTATAGAAGTTTACTTTTGGACCTAGGACCTAGGAGCAATCCATTTCTATGAGCATCGGAGCAAGTTGCAGTTGCAGCTTTGATTTCACCGAACTCGGCAGGATGTGGCCGAGATCAAAGGAGCGATCCTTGCGTCCGGTGTCTCCGACTTCACTTTTGATGGCCTATGTACTCCCAAAGCTGCAGCCTGTGAGGTGTCATTGCAGGTGTAGGGCTTCCGGGTTCGCATTGGCAAAGATGGAGGATTTCATCCACCAACGACCTGTACAGTGTGGGGAGGAACGTCCAGGTCCTCAGGTGAGGGCACCAGCTTGTCCTTGGACATGAGTCTTTGTCAGCAGGCAGCTGAGTGATTAGAACCCACATCAAAACTCTTCCACAGATGGCTGCGGGTGTCAAGGCGCAGCAGAGGTTGGAGTTCCGCTTGCAACTCAGTTGAGCAAAGAAGCAAGCTGGACTGCAGGAATCTGCAGACATTTGCAGAGGAGAAAAAGGGATTTCAACCTCTGTTGCTCAGAAAGAGCACCGTCTCTGATCCAGGCCCTTCGAAGGAACTGGGTTTTGTGGTCTTTTGATCTTGAACCGTCGCGACGTGTAGCCGAACGTCCCAGGCAGTGTGGAGTCTGCCATGACAGTGGGGAGCTCAAGCGGCTGGTGCGACGGTTAGCGGGGTGGTGGGGTCCAAGACTAGGAGAATTTGGGCAAGAGGGAAAGACTCGACTCACGTGACTCACGTGGGAAGACTTTGTTGTCAGTGGAGAAGGAGAAAGCTTGAAAATGGTCTCGACTCACAGGATGGATCATCACTTGCGGGACTGGACTACTTGTCACTGCAACAGCTCATCTGAGCGATCTGAGCCGTTTTCCGACCAATGACCATCATGCGGGTGGATCCTCCTGCGGGATTCGCCGTTGAACTTCTCCTGGTCAGACCCTGCAGAGTTCAAGACCCTTCGAAAAAGGGCTCTTTTAGAGGTCACCAGACCCGACCTTTCGGACTCTCCGGTTTGGTTCCGCACCACTCGCACGAACCTCCGGAGTGGACTGGGCGTGGCAGACGCCTCGTCGGCACGGTTCGACCGACTCGTTTGGGGTCGTCCGGGTCTGACCAATATGAGGTGGAGGACTAACGATGGAATGGCACAAAGGTGGAGTGAAACCTCTGCCATTTGGGTTACAATTCGGACATCGTGGACGTAAAAAAACCAAGAGCTTCTTCTTAAGGACTTTTTTCACCCACCTTTCCTTTGAGTCAACGGCATTTGTTGCCTGCTGCCAGTGTTTGGTGCTTCCAGCTAAGCATGTGCTTTTAGGAGCTGTCATCAAGATGCCTCCCCATATCGGCATGCCCGTGTGAGCCTGTTTCCAGGTTCGGCCATCCTTCCCACCACCGTCAGTGCTGAGTCTTCGATGGGTGCTGCCGGGGCATGTTTGGGTGTGGATAGGAATGGGCGTGGAATGCCCGAAAGCTCGATCTTTTTTGGTTGCTCTGACTCATGGAACGGCACCAGAAACAGACCAAATTGATGGCCATGCTGCTGGCGCCGGCGTGCGGCTGCTGGTCATGTTCAGAGCCTTTCATAGGACCTCGGAGGTGTCCCCACAGCATGTCTGCGGAACTGCAGACCCTTGCGACAGCACATGACACTTCCCAGCAAAAAGCACATCAACAATCATCACACAAAGGACCACATCACAGATCACTACATCACACGCCACAAACCATGATGTATCAAGACGTCACACCCCACCACACGTGAGGAGTGCTGTGGTTGAGATCATGCAACTCATCCGCGGTTGGAACTGAAGTGATTTTGTTGGATGGGAGAAAGACACACACACACACACACACTCTCTATCTGAAAAAGTGCAAAGCTTTGCTGGTGGTGTCATATTCTCCATCACGGATGGCTTTTCAATCGCATCTAAGATGATCTTTGGAACATCCTCACTTGGAACATCCAAACTACAACACCTACTATGTGGGACAATCTTGTAGTGGGCAATCCCTCATCTCACTGTTTTCTTCGAAGAGGCGGTCGTGCGGTCTGATGCGGTCGTTTCTGTCGCCTCGCACCAGGCTATGCTGAAGAAACCTGCGAGAGACGGGGCCAGGATCTTGGAGGCTTTGCCCGCACGTGGCGATGCAACGAGCTTGGGGAAAAAACACATGAACACATCACTCGACTCGCAGATTGCGGTACCAGTCTGCTGCTTTGCGGTACCGGGTGTCTCTTCGGCGGTCTACTCAGCCGCCCAGTTGACCTGTTCTTGCCGGTAAACTGTGATGATGGAGCCCTACCCACGGTGGGTGGAGCGAGTTAGTTCGCACCAAGGGGAGCGTTCCAAAATAGTTTCCCCAAAGGACAGGTATTACATTATTACAGTTTCTCTATTTTTGCATGATCACCCAGTGAAATGAGCTCCTTGAGCTGTAGGGATCTCTCTTTCATGGAGAAGAAAGGTTGCGAAGGGCAGAACTTCCAAACCCCATCCCTCTGGGCGCCTCTGGGGCGTGCGGGCGTTTGGCCGGAACCAAGGTACGAGATCTGCAGATGCTGCGGAAGCGCCCCACCGGGCCAAGCAAGGCGCTGGATCGGATGGAGCCAGGAAGGAATGGAGATAGATGGCTGGCAGGGTGGCTGGCGAGGCGGCTGTGTGGAAGAATAGAACTTCTATACTATACCTGACAGCTGCCATTTTGTTTAGGGTCTTAGTCTTTCTGGAGGTCGTCCTGTCCTCCAGCCGCCGAGTGGATCGACCCGAAGTCGAAGACTTCGAACAGGTGAAGCAGACGGTCCCCCCAGGCACGAGCGCAGCGCAGTGCAGCGGACGAAGATGGGGTGGTCCGCGGTGTGGCCGAGTTGGGGTCACCTTTTGGGTTCATGTCTGGAGTTGGACCTGGAAACGAACCCTGTGGATTTGTGACACCTGTCACTCATGTCTGAAGCTTGCTTGTTGGACATATTCTTAGAAGATCAAGTCTGTCTACTTGACATGTTTTGATCGAACATACCAATCCTATTGTCTTCATGTGTGCATCCCGCTATTCTTCATCCACAGCCAAAGGCTCAAAGGCTGCAGACCACGACCAGAACTCAAGCACAGACAAAGAATGGTAGATGTCGCCAAGCCAGCGCTCTGGACAATAAATATTTCACATATGCAAAAGTGATGTGTCCCGTACAATCACATCAACAGTTAAAGGGTCTTCTTCATGTGGGCAGCTGGCAGAAATGGAGGGTTATGTTGGTGGCACTTTGTTAGGGCTTAGGCCCACCGCTACCGCTACTGCGGCTGTTGTTCTTGCCTCGTTTTGGGCCTCGCTGCGTGTGATGAATTTCAAGCTGCTTGTGCCGGTGCTTCTCGCTGGCATTGTTCCGCTGGCAGTGAAACGCGCCGATATTCCGGCACACCTGCTGGGACACGTGGCCTTTCACTGAGGCCAGGATCGGTCGTTCTCTCGGAGGGTGAGAAGGGACTGGACTGAGAAGGGACTGGCATGGGCGTTGCTTCGAGTCTGTTGAAGTTCGGGAGCGAATCCTGTGGCTGAAGAGGCTCAGACTTCCATTTGTTGAGCCATCCTTTTGTGGCGGGATGGTGTATTTTCCTTTTTTCACGAAAGCTAGCATGCTAGCTGAGTTCTTCTTTGCTTTAGCAATTGGTAGTGGGATGAGCTGTGTGCTTTAAAGCTTGATATATCACACTAAGGGGGGGGGCCAGGCCCCCGCCCTTAGCGTGATATATCACGCTAACCACCCCCCCCCCACGGTTCGACTCCCAGCTGCGCCGTGTAGCGGGGGTTGGTTGAACGTGTGAACGTGGTTGGTTGGGTGTAAACGGTGGCTTGGTGTAAACGGTGCTGCTGCTGCCGCTCTGCTGCTTGCTGCTGCTGTTTGCTGCTGCCGCTGGTTGTCGCTTTTGTAGCTGCTGCTTTGCTACTTGTTGCGGCTTGGTGCTGCTGCTGCTGTTGCTGACGACGCCGCTGCTGCTGCTGCTTGCTGCTTGCTGCTTGCTGCTTGCTGCTTGCTGCTGCTGCTGCTTGCTGCTTGCTGCTTGCTGCCGGTGGTGCTGCTGCTGCTGCTGCTACTGCTACTGCGGCTTGGTGCTGCGCTGCTGCTGCGTGGTGCTGCTGACTGGCTGCTGGTTGGCGGTTGCTGCTGGCTGCTGGCTGCAGGCGGCTGCTTCTGCTGCTGCTGCTGGCTGCTGCTTGCTGCATAGGACTTGTACTTCACCGTTACAAGTTGTTTACCCTATTTCTAACCTAATGCATGCATAAGCGGGTGGTAAATTTACTCCCAAGGCTTGCTATAACCATACACAGGCTATTTCCTCAAGACACTCTATTCCTGATACCTTTTACATCCTTTTTACCAGTGCTTATCCTACACTACGGACGCCCTAGTGTATGCACAGTCCTTGTGATGCTTACCCCTCGTTCCGGCTCAAGGCATACATAAGCGGGGGGCAAATTTACCCCCCAGATTTGCCATAACCATAAGGCGGCTATTTCCTCAAGACACTCTGCTCCTTATACCTCTTACCAGTGCTTATCCTACACTACGGACGCCCTAGTGTATGCACAGTCCTTGTGATGCCAGAAATGCTTACTCCTCTTTCCGGCACAAGCCATACATAAGCGGGTGGTAAATTTACCCCCCAGATTTGCAATAACCATAAGCCGGCTATTTCCTCAAGACACTCTATTCCATATACCTTTTACCCGTGCTTCTCCTACACTACGGACGCCCTAGTGTATGTACAGTCCGTATGATGTCAGAAATGCTTACCCCTCAAGGCATACAAAAGCGGAGGGTAAATTTACCCCCCAGATTTGCCGATCACGCATCTTCGTGCCTGCCAACGAGTGCACCCGGGTTGTTCCAATGTACCCTTCCCAGTCAGCGATGTCACATTTACATTCTTTAGCGCAAAGTATGTACATAGCAACCTTCCTCCCAGAACATGTACTCACTACATGCTTTGCCGACGATGTAACTAGTACATCCGGTGCGATTCGGCTAGCTTTCGACCTCCTCCCCCTGGCCTCAAGTCGACTTCGTGCGCCTCTCAGAAGCATTGATCGACGCGGAGAGTGGGCGGCAGCTCAATGCGATCATGCGGCAGATGGGTTCGGACGAGCCACTCGGCCCGAAGCGACGGGACCGGCGGGACGGGTTCGGGGCACGAGAAGCATCCACTCGGGTGGCCACACTTGCGAGAGAGAGAGGGCAGAGAGGGCAGATCGCGAGGTTGTCAGGCGGAAGGGAAGGGTGATGGAAGTTGAAGAGATAGTGACCCTGAAAAAGATGAAAGCGTTGATGCTTTTTTTCTAGGCTTTGTCAGGGTGTTTCATCTCCACTGGAATTCTCCAGGATCGGCTACCCCACAAACGTGGCGGCTGACCTGAAGACGGGCGTGAAGAAGGTGCAGCACCGACATGTGGGGGAAGCCAAGCCTATGGAGGCGGGACGGAAGGAGAGAAGGACGCACCTAAGCAATCTAGGTGTCATTGGCGGCCTCCAGGGGGTTGTCAAGTCGACATCGGGAAACCAGAAGCCTTTTTCTGAAATAAAACCATGGTTCCTCCAAACCCTACAGGGCAGTTTGACCTCATTTTACGGGATTTGGTCATAAAAACACACTACTCAATAAGGTAAAGGACCAGGCTTTACTGGGTGAAACTGGACCTGTAGGGTCTCTTTGAGGAGGAACGGCAAAGACACCGCTTTATCTCAGGTTTCCCCAACTCCTCCAATGATACAATTTCTCGGACAAGAAGAAGCAAGAACACCAAATGGGGCCTGGGGGTGTCCCGAGGTTGAGCCAAAGCCAATGTTGCCTCATACTTTGAAAAGATCCTGTGACACGTGCATTGACGCTGTGGTGGCAAGCCGTATGGACCAGTGAAGGATGATTAAGAAGGTTCGGTACAGGCAACGCGACCATTGACCAGCGTTTAGATGGTACTGGGAATGGAGAAGGTCTAAATGCACAGGACAAATTCATTAAGCAGATCCAAACAGCCCATATTTGTGCTTGCAACTGCGGAGGCTGATGGGAGTTGCTCCCACCATCTTCTAGTGAGAGATGGAAACAGTCCCTGGTCTGCAGCAGGAGTCGTCAGCAGTGGCTTCGACTGTTCCACAAACACCCCCAGAACGAGGCATCTATTTGAGGGTTTTGTGGAGGAAAGTCGGTCACTCTCTTCACTGTTTCAGTTACTAGGGCTTGAAAGCCCAGATCCAGACTTCAGGAAGCCATCTTGGACTGCTGGCAGCAGACTGGATTTCAGAATCGGACTCATCTCAAAACATGTGTGTTTTCACCTGCATAAAGGCTCCACCCGTGACTGGTTCAGATCTCGTTTGAGGCAGTGACTGTATCCTACCACAACGCATCGATGTTGGGAAGCACTTCATCATGACAGGCGGTCCTGAAGCCGGGAGCCTCAGGGCAACCAGCTGGTGGTGGTCGAACGTTCAGCGAGCTTCAAGAAGCTACCGGGTCGTTGGCGTGTGTTGTGAGGGTTCGGTTTTTGCTATGTTTTTCTTATCCTTTGAGGGGATTCTTGCGATTCAGCATATCGTTAAGAACATAGACGTTCTGACTTTGAACCTTGGGGCCTCTTCTCGTCGAAGTCTTCACATCAGAAGCCTAGCAGCCCGGGACCGACCACCCGCCGGCCTCGGTTGGAAAGGACCAACCACCGCTCTTCCAAGGCCATTCGAGAGCCCTATGAAGACATGATCTCTAGGGTGTCCTCCTTTGGCAGATATTTGTGTCTTGGACTTGACTTGATGCCGAAGTTCGCTTGACAGATCTGCAGTTTTTCAAGCCGTGAAGTAGATATGTGTCTAGACTCCGGACTGCCAGCAGACCGTCAGTTCTTCACCTGAGGTTGAAGTATGTAGATGCTGAAAGGCTAGATAGACCCGAACATTCGCAAACCAAACCAGGTCCATTTTGTGTCAGTTTTGGCAGGAGTAACAATCAGGAGATGATCACAATCATGTTTTTTTCCACTAAGTTGGTTCTTGTCACTATCAACACTACCTACAGATAGGGGCTTGCAAACCCGGGGTTCACATCAACCGACATGGACTCCTGGAACTGTTCGTTTCACCCGGGTTCCTCGTCGACGAGGTTTAATCTACAGGACTTGCCGGTGGTGGAGAAGCTCTTCGAAGATGAGAAGTTCCAACACTTTGCGAAGAGCGTCTGCCCCAAAGAGAAGCAAGTTTTGGACCGCCCAAGCACTTTGGGAAAGAGGCTTCCTGGGAGCCCAAGTAATGAGTGCCATACACAGCATACCAATACGGCGTCCCTATGTTATCCTATGTCGGCTTTTCTGAGTCCAGCTTAGATATATATAGTTTAAATCCCATACCTCCTACCTCCATTGGTCCATTGGTGAAGAACGAGTCCAGTTTCGGGCGAACGTGTTTGCGCTCTGAAGCACCACTGGGCTCCATTCGTGATCAGCCATGGCATGAGGACACGGAGCTGGCCGTAGGCTCTTCCAAGCACCAGGGCACCAAGGGCTCAACTCGGTCTCTCAGAGCCCATCACAGCAGGTGGCTCCAACCATTTCATGCGAGGATCACTCCGTCCGCCACTGTTTAGTCTTTTTGTTTTCACTTGTGATGACATTCCGTCAAGCCACGTGATATCTGCTCCAAGTTTCCTCTGCTTGACACTTTCATGCTGCGGCCAATTGGGGGCATCCCACCTGCGGGGCGGGACCCGCGCATCCCTCCGGCGACCCGCACGCGACCCGGGCGCGACCCGGTCGGCACGCAGGACCCCTTCCAGTTCAACTTCATCCTCTCGGTCCCGGGCCAAACCGTGGCGCTTCATCTGGATGCACCTTACTTCCTTGGTGCCACGCGCTTTCAGGTGCCTCAGTGGTTGTCACTTGGCCGCCTTTCTTTGTGGAACTCAACAGGGGTCTTTTGGTGGAAGGTGGTTGCATAAGGTGGTTAAGGTGATCCGGTTATATAAGGTGGTTAAGGTGATCCCTTGGGATTTGTTGGTTGTGGTGTGACATTGTCCTGCTCCCAAAAATGCCCACCTGGAGGAGCTCTCAAAGAATTGGCTTTTTTCTTACTGGATTCAGTAGGTTTTGTTCTCACTTCAATAGGGTGTGACTGACATCCTTCAACCCGCCTAAACCCTAAACCCGCCGAAATCGTGTGGGTCTCGCCAAGGCGACGGGCTTTCACACGAACCGCGGTGGAACTCGTTGATCTTCACGTCGCTCCGCGGATTCGGAACCTGCGTCGCATTCCGTTCGATGGGTCTTCACCGGGCAGGTTGGCGGTGATGGTCTTCAGCGGGCTCTTCCAAGAGCGCTTTGTGGATCAGGTCCAGGTGGTGGGATACTTACACGATCAGATGGCTGTGGAAGATCAAAGCGCTGGAGGCGGAACGAAGTGGGACATCGGAAAGTCGGCGTATCATAGAGGTCAGTCTTAGAGGAATCACCAAAAGACCGGATTCTTTTCCGGAGCTGGTCATTGTCATTGCAACTTGGTTCTTCATCCAAGTTCCTTACGACCTCAGTCACACACTCATTACAAGTGACATCAGGTGACATCATCCAGAGTTTGCCATTCCGACCCGTCTGGGGATCTTTCTCAATGAACAACCACTTCAACGGGGGGGGCCGCCCGGGTTGGCCACATGTTCTGCGTGGAAACCCCACCCGAGCACCTTCTCCCCCCTGACATTCTGGTCCTTGACAGCTCCCTTCACAGCCCCCCCCGTCGCCGTCTTCCGCGCTGGGTTCACACCGCCGTGTGAAAACCGCCCCCCGGTCGTGCACGGAACGGGACGGGAGCCCGGACGCTTTGGAGGCTTGTTCCTCTACTACGACGAGAACTCCGCGACTCCCAAGAGCTTCCCCTCCAGTCCGCTCTCGGGGATCTCGGTGGCGCGGAGGGAATGAAAGTGGGGGCGCGGTGGCGGGAATTTCGCGCGTTCGTTTTTTATTTTTATTGTATTTTTCGCCCGGGGTTCATATAGGATGTTTCATATGGGATGCGGGGTGCGGTAAGCGACCATGTGCTTTGTCGTGGAACTATAGGACGACCCATGCAAGGAGAGCTGTCGTGGATCGATCGAAATGACCTTCAATAGATGTTTGAAAGGACTTTTGCAGGACCTTCCAAGCGACCCCCTATGAACTTCCATTAGCTTGAGCGCCTCTTGGGTGGTCTCTTTTGGCCACCCCAAAAAGGATGTCAAAAGCAAGAGACGTCGTGTCCACGAGCCCGGACATGGACCATCGACAGCGACAAAACCGCTTCGGTCGCGGTCTGGCCGCGACGGGAAAGAGGTGGATGGGAGCAAGACGCTCCATGCAGCTGGGGTCTTCAAGCCAGAGGTCAAGACGCCCTTCCTGGACAAGGCGCATGAATTCATGATCTCCTCCATGCGTCGAGACTTCATGCGCCGGCATGAGGGGCAGAGGGGAGGTGGTTAGATCCCAACCTGTGAGGCAGAGGGTTGAGAACTGTTTTTTCAAGCAGGGAAGTATCGCCTCCAGGGCTGCGCAAAGCGTGCGGCCGTCTCTTTTCAGGACAAAGACAATGCCTTGTTCTATGTGGGCGATGAGCTTTGGGAGCTGCGCAGTGAGGGTCAGGCCGCGCTCTCGACGTAGTGGAAGTCGCGGGGCTTCTTACACTCCTGGAAACTCGACGACCCCTGGCACCCTCAAAGATCCGTTTTTCCTCTACAAACCGACGTGCATGGTCCTTATATAGTAGGGTCCATGTCAAGTTTTCCAGAGGGGTAACCTGTTTCTGATCAAAGAGTTTGGCTGATCTCTCGACTTGGACCCTTTTCATGGTGTTTTGGTGTTCTTTGGATGACTCACTCACCGGAGGTTTTTGGTTCCGCCTCCTCACTCGCTCCAGAAGACAATCCCAGAGACTCCACGCATGGCATATTTACCTACATTGGGGTGGTGTGAGGGGTCAATGTAGGCATATATGACTCACATGGAGTGCCTGGGACAGTCTGGGAATATGATCCTGTTCGTTCTCGGATATCCGGATATCCTCCACGGTGTTTTTTCTTTTCCAGGTGCTCCAGAGCTACAACTCTTCAGAGCTGCGGATGACCATCGTCTACAGGCCAATTGAGCCTTTAATCATCGTGCCGTGCCGAAGTCGCCCTATGGCGCCGGGGCGTGGCTTGGGGTGTTTTCGGGCGCCGGGGTGTGAAGTGGGAGGGAGGGGTGAGTTGCAAAACACCTCCTGATCCATGGTGTTTCCATTCAAAGTTCATGACATTTCAAGTTTCGTCAAGATGGATAGGAGCTGCGCCGGCGCAGGACAGGGGCGACAGGGGCGACGGGGGCTTGGAGTGGAGTCCGAGCCCATCGCTGGGTCCGAGCCGTTGGAGCTTTCCGTTTCTTCCAGGGTTGCGTGACGCTACGGTGTTCGGTTTTCCGGGGTTCGGGGTTCAGTGCCGTGTTTCTTTCCCTAGAGGTCCAGTCTGACCCAGGTCCAAACCTAATCCTTTACCTTATTGAGTGGCGTTCTTGAATGACACGATCCCATAACTAACATGAGGTCAAACTGACCTGTAGGGTTTGGAGGAACCACATTTTTTCCAGGAAGCTTTTGGTCTACTGATGTCAACTTGACAACCTCCAGCAAGCTTGAAAGTCCAAAGAAAAGCCAGACTCCTATTCGAACTCCTGTTCTGGAACTTCTGTTGAAGTCAAAACACTGCTTTGTTCGAACCCCAAACTGGAACTCCTCTTCGAACCCTCTCCAGGGCACGCTGCTTCACCTCAGAGGAGGACAGTTCGCAGCATCCTTTCGCCGCGGTGTCGAACCGTGCCGAAGGCACGGCCAGGCAGTTTTTTGCTTGGTTTTTGGTCAGGGCCCTGCAGCTGGTTTGCGAGTTTGGGGGATGCATAAAAGGCAGAATATTGTGGGGATTGCCGAGGAAGAAGACCAATGCATCAGCTTTGGGAGATTCGCGGATTTCTAAGGGCATGCTTGAATATGCTGGATGCCTGTATCCAAGTGTGCGCACATATTTCCAAGGATTTTGACTGGACGTGTGTTGACCCTGGCGAAGGAGAGACAAAGATATCTAAAGCAAGCTCCAGAAGATTTGCTGAGCTCCTTTGGCTGCAGCCAGTCATATCCTGTGAAGCAGTCAACTCTTGCAGTCTGACGACCTACCTACCGTTGATGACCTACCGTTGGGTGGGTCCCACCGTTGGGTCCGACAGATTGGACTGCCATGGCGACGGGTTGGCAAACCCGAGCCATGGCACGCGACGGGGAGAGTGGGTGATTTGTTGGCAAAAAGTGGTTCTCCTAATCTTTTTTAACAAACTTGGTGGTTTGGACATAGGCAATAGGACCTGTGGGAGAAGGTAGATCAAAGACGTTTTTTTCTTTTGTGTTCCATCCTGAAGTTGACTCTTGTTGGGGTGGCCCACAGGCCTAGACGAGATTTTGGAGAAGCTGAAGGAGGACTTGGTCAAGCGGAGGAGGTTATCAAGGCGTGTGGATGACACAAACCTACACATACCGCAAGTGACAGAAGACTCTAGACATATACCCTCACAAACTTGTAAGGTTGCCTGTCCCACATCAATGAATGTCAGGGTGCTGGCGTCGTGAAACCTATGAGATGAACCTCAACTTGACAAGCTTTGGCTGTTGATGTGCGTTTATGTTCAAAAGAAGTTTGATCACTTCTCGGTCGTGATCCAACCAAGTGGGGCGCCTTTGGGGTCGGTTCTGTCTTCCTGAAGCGGGGCTTGAGCGGTTACCCAACTGTTTCAGAGAAAGCCTTTCGGGTGTGAAAGCACCTGGGTTGCGGACCCACGGCCTCCTTTCTCGAAGGCCTCTTGCGTGGTACACGGGGGTGCTACATGGCAAGTCTGGTGGTTGGTAGACAAATCCTGAAGGAAGGGTGCGTTCTATCATTGGTTGGATCGGGTTGGATGGCTTCCATCCTCGACTTCGGGGGGTTCCTGACTTCAGTTGGATCGGGGTCGACTCAGGGATCAGGCCGCATCCATGGACCGCCTCGACTTGGCGGTGATGCTGCTGGACACTTACATCAAGTCACTGGGCGGTGAAGACCTCCTTGGCACGGCGAAAACGACCCGGTACGGCAACCCCCGCCTTCGAGCGGGCTGGGCAGGATGGGGGTTCGGAGACATGACCGGAGCAAGTGGCCTAAGATTCCTCAGGTGGCAATACCTAGTATAGCGAGAAGCTACAAGTAACAAGGGCAGAGATGTGGGCTCAACAGAGTGAACATAGAAAGCTGCAGCAAGCATCTCTGTCTAAACTATCCCTATACCTGTGACTGAAACTATGTATGGATATTCTATGATATTCTCGTGACTAGGTCAAAACGAAACCAAAGAGCATTGCGGGGTCCTTTCTGCGGTTTAGAGTGTTTTGAAGAAAGAGGTGCCATTATTGACTTTTAACCTCTGCAAGCTGTCCAGGACAAAGAGCACTTAGAACGGACCGAAAGCGGCTTTGGACATCTTCGTTCCCCCGAAGATCCACCCTGCAGTTCCCCTGAAGATCCACCGAACACCGTGCCGCAATGTCTTCAAAGTCCTTTGGTGTTCCTGTGCACCACTCCAAGGTATCCACTTCCCGACTTGCAACATGCCAAAGTTCCTCTGAACTATTGCGCTCTTCCGCGTCGAGCTGGCCAATTTCGCCACCTGCTCACTCGACTCTTGAGCCCCTTCTGCGGGTGAATCACCCATCACCCGAGCGCCGATCGAGTGGGGATCACCGCCGTTTGGGCTGTGCCGTACCGGTCGGAGAAGGGTCGAAGAAGAGGCGGAGAAACAGGGTGACCGAGAAACAGTGGCACCGGAGGGAACGAACGAGCTGCTTCGGTCAAATCTGAACAGATTGAGTGACCGAGCTGATCGGTGATGCCTAGATGGACATTTCTCTAGAGCCTAGATGTGATATGGGGATAAAGATGAGGTGGGGCTTCAGACTCCATTTTCCTAGGTCACGTTCCTTCAACTCAGTGAAGGATTCTGACATCTGGATTCCTGGGTACCTTCACCCCATGGTCTACCAGGCTCCCGATGTTTGGTATGTGTATGGTTTCTTACTTGGTGCCAGTGCTGCTCCCAGCTCTTTTTGGTACAAGTCCCCAGAGCAAAACTCTTTAATATAAAGAACCATTTTCCAATACCCCAAACCCTGACATCTCTGTCTCTGGCTTGATGACATACAGGAATTCCTCCCGCCCCATCTCTTCTTTCGCGACCCACGACATCGGCAGATCCTGCCAAGCCACCACCGGGGTTGCTGAGCTTTCAGCAATGGTGCCTGGGCTGCAGAGGGGACTCCACACCTCCACCTGGGATGCGCCAAACTGAAAAAAGAGGGACGAACATCCACAGGATGAGTCCGTCCATCTGGCAAATTCCCATCTTGGAATGTCGAGAGATATATTTATATATATATATACCATTATATGCCCTTTGTGTAAGCAGGCTTTAAGTGACGAATCAAGAGGCTTTTGCCAATGGTTTCATGAAGCTACACAGTGGTTCTCACAAAGGTGCTTTTTGATGTGCTTCATGTGTGCAATCAGTTCTTTTTGCCGGCATGTCCTTCACATATTCATGAAACAAATGCTGCGCTTGGGGTCGGAAACCCCCTTGCACCGTGCCCGACCAGGCTGCAAGGCCCTGCAGGCCATGCTGTTCTCGCCAGATACCGCGCGAGCCCGGGTGCCCTACTAGGGCGCGACTCTGTGCAAAACTGGAAGTGAAGGTGTCTGGCTCGGATGGGTGTTTTCGACTTTGCTTCTCCTGCCTCCACACTGAAACACTTGTGCTGTCGCTTTGAGGACCTTCGTGTTGTCGTAGGTGCTGTCGTGCGTTTTCAGGTTAGACCGCCGAGCTCCAGCGAGGCCGGCACGCCAACGGGCGGGACGCCATACATGGGGGTATATATTACCCCCCAACCACAGGGTCTTAGTCTATTTCTATTTTGTTGGCCGGAGCAGGAGAAGAGTTGGTTGAGGTTTGTACTCTCCTTCTCCCAGAGACATCCCCACATGAGGTGCCAAGGTGGACATTCACAGGCCACAGTCTGAGGGTAAAAAGTGGTGAGGGTTTCCACAGGGCTCTGACATGGACAGGAGGACAGAACGATCCACTTTCAGTGAAGCTGAAAACGGCTGGCCAGCAAGAGTTCTGCGTGTTTCACCCCTGGGGCACGGTCTGAAGATCAGGCACCGTCCAGGGATTTTTGAAGGTCGAAGGTAGTCTTCACCAGGGGCTCCTTGACCTTCGCGACGGCTTTAGTCTTCGCGCCCAAGTCACGAAATGGGATGGCATCGTCCCGGAGCTTTCGGACACATGTCCGACCAGCTTCCGTATTCTGGCCAACAACCCTTTCTTGCGGTGCCGTGTTTGAGGCAGACTGCGATGTCTTTGATTTCACCATGGGGATGATTAGCTTTTTGATCTTTTTGTGTTGCGAGGGCTCGGCGTCAATCATGCACCACAGATTCGCAGGCTCTTGAGCTGGATCGTGCCAAGACTTTTTTTGTTTGTTTGGACTGGCTGCTGCAGTCTGGCCGGCTGTGTTGCTTGGTTCGCAAAACATGGCTCTAGCTTCTTAGGGCCGAATTCAGATGCCAGACTAACAAAGAGAGTGATCTCCTCTAATGTCTTAACAGCTTAACGGAGCTGTTGGAGCAACGGTTTGCTGACACCCATTCGTCATTCTGTAATTTGTTCTGGAAAACAGCAGGCAGGAAACCAGCTTTGTCTCAGCTTCCCCGCTTTTTCTTGCCCGATCGCGCTCGTCACGGATTCTCAATAGCTACCAGTTAAAGCAAATCACACATGGGAAGCCGCTCACAGGGGAAGCCCATTTCTGGAGATCAGGAAACAATTTCTTGAGAGAGTGTTTTTCGCCATGCCGATCGACTATTCAAAGTTTGAGCATATCGGAGACTCTGATGAAGAGCCTGGCGCTGAGGGAGTTCGCAAACCTCGGATGTGGAACGCTCCAGATCAGTCCCTTCTCCATGTTCTTTGGTTTGATTTGTATGTGGCAAAAGTGCAGGTGGTAAGAGGGAGAAGAGACAGGCATGTGAGCAAAGTGCCAAAGGTCGGCACTCACGTTTCTACAAAAATGAGCAATTTGCACGTTCCTTAAAAACACGATACCAATCCCAAAAACTATACCTAGCCTTGTGACGGTACACATCTTGGAATCTATCTTTGCCTATTGACACTGTTGACACTCGAGACATTGTATGTCCAAGGTTTTTTTGCATATGGTTTGCCATGCTAGTTGGACATTCCATTTTGTTTTTGCTCATTTTCCCTTCTCTTTCTTTGATGGGAAACAATTATGGGTTTAGACGGATACCAAAAACGATACCAAACGATACCCACTTCATAGGTTTGTATCCCCTCAGAAACCACCTGCCAGCTCACATGCCACTACTACTGCCACTACTTCTGCTTCTGCTACTACTTCTAGCACCACCGCCACCACCACCACCACCGCTGCTACTACTACTACTATGACGACGACGACTACTACTACTACTACTACTTTACGACGACGACGACGACGACGACGACGACTACTACTACTACTACTACTACTACTACTACTACGACTACGACTACTACTACCACTACCACTACGACTTAGTACTAGTACTATAGTACTAGTACTAGTACTGGTACTAGTTAGTACGAGGACGATGACTACTATCATCATTTGGAAGATCACCTTCCAGAGCAACTTACATTTAGACGATACCCCCCTCAAAAATTGGATATGGATTGAACAAAAAGATAGCAATCCCAAAAACGATACCTGCCTTAAAACTTCCCACCAGACGACCCCTAGTTTTGCCGGTCGCTCATGTGAGAAGAGTCTTCGCTTGAGGCAAAGGTGTTAAAAACGGACCTTCTGAAGAGGTGTAGAACATTCTAGAAATAGCCAGAACAGTGATTCCATGTGATTCTTTTGGAATTCCTTCCATCATCTTCCTTTGGCGTCGACAGGAAGGCGCCCACTGGTCCATCGTCGTCGCCTCCCGAAGCCAAAGTTGGGAGGCGTCCGAGTTGGGAAAGCAAAATGCCAACTCTTCGAAACCAAAGTGGTTAAGGCTTCACACCAAGTCCAGTTCCAGAGACGAGAGTGGTGACATGACAATGAACTCTTTTTGCAAACACCTGCTCATCTCCAGCCTCTCAAACTGGCTGTTCACTTCTACAACATCCAATGACCGACCAGGAATGGCCGTGAGCTGCTCGAAGCCGGAGGCGGGCCCGCAAAAACTCCTTTTCTTGCGAGCGATCTGCCGTCGCTTTACTCGCCCCGTCTTCGCGACCTGGGAGAGTCTTGATCGAGTCCTTTTTTCGAGCGCCTCGAACAACAGAAAGAGCACCATACTGAGCTGAGGATTACAATCTTTTTCACCGATTGCCACAGGAAACCAGGCTTAGACGTATGTCATTTTGAAGAGGCCTCTCCTTTTTTTCGTCACCTTCATGAGAACGTCCTTCATGAGACTTGGCTGTTTGGTGATTTGGTGCTTCCTAAGGCCTTGAAG